CCCCACCTTCCCCCTGACCCTGGACGCCTTGTCCTGAGGGAAGGCACTGGGGGCAGGCAGCGGTGTGGAGTGTTCCTTCCTCACATGCTGGCATCTAGGGCCAATTCCACCACCTCTTGGGGCCTCAGTGACCCCAGCTGTAAGATGGGCATGGACTTGGGGAGCTAAAGGCACGTAGGTGCTTGGGCAAGTTCATCAGGCTGGGGCCGGTGGGCGGGGCTGGGGCGAGCCTGTCTCTGCCAGGAGTCCACCTGCGGTCCTGGGGGCTTCTGCCCATCTGAGTGAGCAGCCAGAAGCCAGGGAGGGCTTGAAAGAGCCAGGAGGGGCCTGTGCTTCCTGATCCATTGTGGCCAAGAGCGGAGAATGGCCATGATGGCCAGGGTCTGGCCAAGGTCTGGGCCCTGGCCCTCTGACGCCTCTTCACCCACATGGCGGGGGCTTTTTCACGTGTTGTTGGGGGCGGTGGTTCTCCATGGCCTTCTAAACACCAGACGCTGCCCTGCCCTTCAGAGTCCAGTCCTCCCTCCACGGCCTCCCCTCGCGCTGCCTCCTCTTCAGCCTTCTCACACCGTGGGCTGACCTGTCTCCTTGCTGTCCTCACAGTGCCCTGAGCTTTCTCTGACCTTTGGAACATCGGCGGGGACCGTCCCGCTTCCCAGCATGGCAGACGGTGGAGTGATGTCAACCAAGGGCTCTGGAGCCTGCCAAATTGGGGTTTGAATTCTGGCTGAGCCACACACTAGCAGTGTGACGTCACTTCTTTTAGCCTGTACTGTCTCCTCTGTCAAATGAAGAGAACAGAATGAAGTGAGACTGTCTGTGTGTATGTCGAGGCTGCATGCCTGGGCCTTGCCTGTAACAAGTGCTCCATAAATAAGTGTGGTTATCATGAACACTAAGCTTTATGCCTCATCCACCATGATCTGGTATTGCTGGTAAGATCTGAAGTGTACATTTCAGTGTATTTCATTGATGTTAAGTATTATTGTAATGGTAAACTCCTGTGCATGCTTCAGCACCCAGCTTTGACACCGCCACCTCCAGGAAGCCCCTCTTCATTATTCTGGCAGGATTTGGAGCTCCTTGCTGGTTGCTCAGCATAGGTTGTCCTTAAACGGGGCAACTTATGAACAGGATCTGCCCCTGGCCAGACAGGGGGCAACTCTTCTTCTGCTTCTGTCTACTCCCCACCTGGCACAGGCAGGCACAGGGAGGGCAACTCTTCCCCCTCCCCCTAACATGCGTGAGTCCTGATGCGACTGGAAATCTCCCTCCTGCCCACGTTCTGATGTGATCTCAGGCAGGTCCTTGGAGGCAGGCCCAGCAGGAAAAATTCTTTTTCTAGATGTGAGGAAATAATTTCTGCCTTGACTAATTTAAACAAGGGCCCAGTGTTGACCAAGGCTGGCCTGCTCTGGGCAGGGTGTGGCATTAAGTACCTCCTCACATGCAGTAGGCAGTACCCAGACCAACCCTGGAGAGCTGCTATTTTTATCTTCATTTTACAGATGAGGATGTTGGCATGTTGGCGCTGGCTCAGACGGGCTCATGAGAGTCGATTGTTGACATTTCAGGAATGGTGTGTGAGCTGGTCGTTAAATACAACCATTGTTAATAACTAAATTGTATTAACTTACAATTAAGTAATTAGAAACGGGGGGCCGCGCACAGTGGTTCACGCCTATAATCCCAGCACTTTGAGAGGCCAAGGCAGGCGGATCACCTGAGGTCAGGGCTTTGAGACTAGCCTGACCAACATGGTGAAACCCCATCTCTACTAAAAACACAAAATTAGCCAGGTGTGGCGGTTCCCACCTGTAATCCCAGCTACTTGGGAGGCTGAGGCAGGAGAATCGATTGAATCCTGGAGGCGGAGGTTGCAGTGAGCTGAGATCACACCACTGTACTCCAGCTTGGGGGACAGAGCGAGACTCCATCTCAAAAAAAAAAAAAAAAAAGTGATAACTCAAAAGCCCTCACTTCCTAATGATTGTACTATGTTTAAGTGTTAGCGTGTTCCCGTGGTGGTGAGGTCTGTTCTGTTTGTGCAGCAGAAACCCCGGGCAGCGTATCCCTCTCTAACTCCCATCAGTGACCACTCAGCCAGGGCGGATGTTTACACCACAGAAATGAGCAACCACAGCCGGGCATGGTGCCTCACGCCTGTAATCCCACCACTTTGGAGGCTGAGGTGGGAGGTCAGGCGTTTGAGACCAGCCTGGCCAACATGGCAAAACCCCATTGCTATTAAAAATACAAAACTTAGCCAGGCATGGTGGTACGTACCTGTAATCCCAGCTTCAGAGGCTGAGGCAGGAGAATTGTTTAAACCTGGGAGGTGGAGGTTGCAGTGAACCGAGGCCACACCACTGCACTCCAGCCTGGGAGACAGAGACTCCAAGTACAAACAAAAAGGAGCAAACACGCCACATGAGGGCTCTTCTAGCCCCTTTTTCAGAGCCAGTTAAACGTTTCTCAGCACACTATTGAAGGTGGGACAGAAAGGTCGGGACCTGACTGAGGTTACCGGCTGGGAGGGAGCAGAGGTGAATTTGAGCCCAGGGAGTGTCTCACATGCCCAGGTCTGTGCACCTACAGGAGATTCTGCTCGAGGCCTCTGGAATGAGTGGGTCTCCTTGCACACCCACCATGTACATACACTCCCCGGCCTGCTGTTGCCTGCATAAGAGAGGGGCGGTCACTCCCCCAGCCAAGTTCAGGGGGCTGTGCCCAGCCCTCTCGCCCGGCCTTCCCCTCTCTTTTCCTCCTTTCTTCCTCTCTCCCTCTTTCTCTCCTCTCAGGTCCCATCTCGCCAGGGTCTCAGGCCCACGCAGGAGCAGCCGGGCCCACGCACACATTCAGCCTGGCGGTCAGAGGCCAATAGGTTGCCTTGTCTGCCGCTCCCAGCCTTTGTCTGGCCATCTGTCCATCAGCTGTGGGACTGCCTTCCAGGGGGAGGAACGGGGAAGGGGGCTGCCTTGCCGTGTGACCTAGGGTCTACCCTGCCTTGCTCTGTGCCTCTTCATACCACCTGGGACCTCCGAGGCCCCTCCCATTGCTGGCAGTGGCCTCCCGATGAGTCTTTTAACCTCTTGTCCTGGAAGAACAAAGCCAGGTCATGGTGTGTGCTCGGCATGCTCTCATATCTTCCTTTGTCATCCATGGACGTCACAGTCATCACCGGGGGCTCTGAGGCCCCACCCCAGCCTCACTCCTGTCCTCTGACATGCTGAGTGGACTCCTGCCCCAGGGTCTGGGCGCCTGCTGTTCTTGCCCCAAGAATTGCATGATTTGTTTCCTTACCTCCTCCAGATCCTGGCTGAAATATCTCCTCCTCTGACCCCTCTATTTAAAATTGTGGTGGCCGGGTGTGGTGGCTCATGCCTGTAATCTCAGCACTTTGGGAGGCTGAGGCGGGCGGATCGCTTGAGGTCAGGAGTTTGAGACCAGCCTGGCCAACATGGTGAAACCCTGTCTCTACTAAAAAGACAAAAGTTAGCCAGGTGTGGTGGCGTTCGCCTGTAGTCCCAGCTACTCGGGAGGCCGAGACAGGAGAATTGCTTGAACCCGGGAGGCGGAGGTTGTAGTGAGCCGAGACTGTGACACTGTGCTCCTGCCTGGGCAACAGAGCGAGATTCCATCTCAAAAAAAAAAAAAAAAAAAAAAAATTGATGGTGGCGGTGCTGGTGAATGATAGGAGGGTAGGATGGGGGGATGGATGACAGTGTCTTCAGCCAGCAGGAAAGCCCCTGAGATGCTGGGAGCAAGGGCAGCTGTGTGATCCAGCAGGTGTGAAATGGAGTTCCAGGCCCAGTTCTGCCCTGACTTGCTGTGTGACCTTGTGTAGATACCTTCCCCTCTCTGAACTTCTTTCCCAAGTAGAATAAGGAGTACAAGAGTGTGGTAAAGTATAAGAAACACAGGCCCTGGAGTCAGGCAGATGGGGTCACATCCCCACTGGGACTTTTATTGCCTGTGAGCTGTTGGGAAAGTCACTTTCCCTCTGTGTCTGACTCTGCATCTGTGAGGTGGGAGGGGCTGGAAAGGTACATGATACATGAGATACAGCCAGGTGCAGTGGCTCACAACTGTAATCCTCGCAGTTTGGGAGGCCTAAGCAGGTGGATCACTTGAGGCCAGGAGTTGGAGACCAGCCTGGACAACATGGCCAAACCCCATCTCCACTAAAACGCAAAGATTGGCGAAGTATGGTGGCCTGCACCTGTAATGCCAGCTACTCAGGCGGCTGAGGCACGAGAATTGCTTGAACCCAGGAGGTGGAGGTTGCAGTGAGCTGAGATTGTGCCACTGCACTCCAGCCTGGGTGACAGAGTACGACCCTGTCTCAAAACAATAAACAGAAGCAAATTTTAAAAAGATACATGAGATATGACATGCTGAGCCCCTAGCACAGTGTCTGGCATGTAGAAAATGTTCAATAAATAGGTCTTTACTCTTTTAGAAAGAACCCAAGTCTGGGCGCGGTGGCTCACGCCTGTAATCTCAGCACTTTCGGAGGCTGTGGCAGGAGTTCAAGACCAACCTGGCCAACATGGTGAAACCCTGTCTCTACTAAAAATACAAAAATTAGCTGGGCATGGTGGCACAAGTCGGTAATTCCAGCTACTCGGGAGGCTGAGGCAGGAGAATTGCTTGAACCCAGGAGGCGGAGGTTGTAGTGAGCCGAGATCGCGCCACTGCACTCCAGCCTGGGTGACAGAGCAAGGCTCTCAAAAAAAGTACCCAAGGGGCTCACCTAAAACTGGACAAACTGGGCCAACTGGACATACATTGGAGGGGATGGTGCCACGGAATCGCCTGACCTCGTAAGGCCGGTCCCGCCGTCCTGGGGTGCAGGTGGAGCTGAGGTCCCCTGTCTCTGGGCTGCTTCCTCAGTCGCTTTGCCCCACGGGGACCTGGCCTCAAGCGGTTGTGAAGTGGGCCGGTGGGCCGGGGCGCGGGGCCCGGTCCGCCCCTCAAGCTCCCCTTTCCCTGTGCAGTGTTCATCTGCAGCTTCATGGTGGCTGCTCCCATCTTCGGCTACCTGGGTGATCGTTTCAACAGGAAGGTGATTCTCAGCTGCGGCATTTTCTTCTGGTCGGCAGTCACCTTCTCCAGCTCCTTCATTCCCCAGCAGGTGAGGCCCACCCCGGCTTCTCCCCGACCCCTGCTTCCCGGGCCCTCCAGCGAGCAGCGAGTCTCACTGGCCTGTGCTCGTCCAGCCCAGGGCTTCCAGCTCCTTTGCTTGAACCCCAGCGCGTTCCCAGTGCAGAGGGACAAGGTGGTCTTCGGGCACTTTCACAAACCAGCCCTGCAGCTGGGGCCTTCCCCATGCTGGTCCGACCTGAGAGACCTGCAGCCCAAGTGGCCTCCTGACTTCTTCTGAGTGGCCCTCTGACTTGGGATGGATGCAAAGAACAAGTCTGGCCTAGGAGTGAGGGCCCTGGGTTCTAGTCCTGGCTCTGCCATTACCTGGCTGTGTGACCCTGGGGGAGTCACTACCCCTCTCTGGTTCTTGCTCAGTTTGTGCTTGGTCTGATGACCAGCTAACTTCTTGGGTTGATGTTCCACAGAAGCAACCATCAATTCAACACAAAGAAGCATCCTCTCATTTAGCTCTCCCAGGTCTCGGCTTGACTATCCCAATTTTGTTGCCGACTCAGCTTTGTGACCTAGAGAAACTTACCCTTAATCTCTCTGAGCCTCGGTTTCCTCATCGTTAAAATGGGGATGATGCTTCTCAACTCGAAGGTTTCCTGTGAGAAGTAGCCGAGCTGTGAAGGGCCAGGCCCTGGAACACGGCCCGTGTTCAACCAGTCCCTGTTTCTGCTCTTTCTTCCGCAGAGGAGCCTGTTTGCCTTGTGAGATAGTGAGTTTCCCATCTCTAGGGGCATTCAAGCAGAGAGGGGCAATCACATGATGGCTGCTGTAGAGAAAGATGATGGAAGAAGGGGAGGACATGATCTGTGTTCAAGGAGGCTTTCAGTATAGCCCTGTCCTTGGGAGCACCCAGGCTTTTGGGCAGGAAGATTTGACAGGAGCTCTTGTGCTCAGAGCCTTCAAGAGGTGCAGAAAGTGTCCTCACTAAAGAGACAGCTGTCTCTTAAAATCCATGGGGTCAGGGAAGGCTTCCTGGAGGAGGTGGTATTTGAGCTAGGCAGGCAGGACTGGGAGATTAGGCCTTTTAGTGAAGGCATCATGGGCAGAGGGAGCCAACCCACAGATGTAAAAATGGTGCAGTGTATTGAAAGAGTGAGATTGGGCTGGGCACAATGGCTCATACCTGTAATCCCAGCACTTTGGGAGGTTGAGGTAGGTGGACCACCTGAGGTCAGGAGTTCGAGACCAGCCTGGCCAACATGGAGAAACCCCATCTGTACTAAAAATACAAAAATTATCCAGGCATGGTGGTATGCACCTGTAATCCCAGCTACGTGGGAGGCTGAGGCAGGAGAATTGCTTGAATCTGGAAGGCGGAGGTTGCAGTGAGTGGAGATTGTGCCACTGCACTCCAGCCTGGGTGACAAGAGCAAAATTCCATCTCAAAAAAAAAAAAAAAAAAAAAAAAAAAAAAAAAAAGATTGAGGATTGCATCTTCACTGGGAAGGAAGCGGGGACTGAGTCATGGAGAAGCTTGAATGCCAGGCTCGAGGGTCTGGGCTTCCTTCTGTGGTAGTGCTGAGCTCTGAAAAAGTTTGAAGAACAATGGCCAGGTCAGATGTAGGTGGACAAAGGGGATGTTGGAGGGAGGGCGGAGAGAATCGGCAGGTTTTCCAGGGACATCCTTGCTTCGTTCGGCAGCTTCACGGAGGAGGGTCAGGTCAGGTGAGCTCCAGACCCAGGATGGCAAGTGAGCCTGGTGGCCACAGTCAAAAATAAGGACTGGGCCGGGTGCAGTGGCTCACGCCTGTAATCCTAGCACTTTGGGAGGCTGAGGCGGGTGGATTGCCTGAGCTTAGGAGTTCGAGACCCCCCTGGGCAACACAGTGAAACCCTATCTCTAAAATACAGAAGAAATTAGCAGGCATCGCAATGTGAACCGGTAGTCCCAGCTCCTCAGAAAGTGGAGGCCAAAGAATTGCTTGAACCTGGGAACGCAGAGGTTGCAGTGAACCCAGATTGTGCCACTGCACTCCAGCCTGGGTGACAGAGCAAGACTCTCTCTACAGAAAAAAAAAAAAAAAAAAAGGGACTGGATCAGAAACCTCTAGGGCCCCTCAGGGTCTTGTCTTGCCCCTGGCCAGGCCCCTGGTCACCAACCTCTGGGGCTGCTCCTGGGACTGACCAGTGAGTCGAGGCCATCGTGCCAGGTCTGGGCCCACCTCTGGGTGTGTGGAAGGGGAGGGAGAGCTGGTAAAGGAGATAAGCAGAGGCACAGAGAGAAACAGGTCACCCCCAATGAATCTAGAAATCCATTGCAGTCACAATTTGCGTCCCATGGGGGTTTTTGGTAGACCGTGGCCATGGGGTTCCGAAGTTAATTTGGCAGAGAAAATGTCCAGGAGCCGCCAAGAACATTGTGAAAAATTAACAGTGAAAGGGGATTTGCCTCTCGGTTATGAAAATGCAGCTATTCTAACTCAAACAGCAGAGCCGTGGACTAAGATCCACGCGACAGAGTCCTCACTTCCGTGGGGATTTCATGGAGGAGGGCAGCTGCATCTGAAACAGGTGGCTTGGGAGGAACTCTCTCCATCTGGATTGAAAGAAAAGTTTGGTCTGTATTTCAAACCATACTGCAGAATAAAGTCCAGAGAGGAGAGGGCAAAGTGAAAAGCAAGCTCTTAAAATCTAGGACTATACATCAGTAAGAAAAAGACAAATAACGCAGCAGAAAATGGGCAAGGGATGGTTACAGACAGCTTCAGAAGACACCCAAACGGCCAATAAATGTAGGAAGAGACAGTGCTCAGCCTCTCCAGCAATGGGGAAATGCAGATGAGAGCAGTGAGGTACTGTTTCACACCCGTCAGATTGGCGACAATTACAAAGGCTGACAATACCAAGTGTTATCAAAGCTGCGGGGACTCGGGAACTCCAGCCCTGCCGATGGGAGTGTAAATTGGTCGAGTCTCTTTTCAGAGTGAAAGGGCAGGATATTATAAAACTCTCTGTATTTTCTACGGCCCAGCCCTCTCCTTGGGGTATATACCCAAAAGAGAAATTCCAGCTTGTAGACACACGCACGTAAGAAGGTTCATTGCAGCACTGTCATAGCAAAAAAAAAAAAAAAAAGGAAGCAATCTAAATGGCGGTCACTGGCTTCACAGATAAATGATGTATGACTTTTTTTTTTTTTTTTTTAAGACAGTTTCGCTCTCACTCTTGTCGCCCAGGCTGGAGTGCAATGGCACAATCTCAGCTCACTGCAACCGCTGCCTCCCGGGTTCAAGTGATTCTCCTGCCTCAGCCTCCCAAGTAGCTAGGATTACAGGCACATGCCGCCACACCAGCTAATTTTTGTATTTTTAGTAGAGACGGGGTTTCACCATCTTGGCCAGGCTGGTCTCGAACACCTGACCTCAGGTGATCCACCCACCTGAGCCTCCCAAAGTGCTGGGATTACAGGTGTGAGCTACTGTGCCCATCCCCGTGAGACTCTTGACAGGAAAAGAATGAACTAGATCTTGATTCATCAGCATAAATGGGTTTCAAAAAGATAAGAATGAGAGGGCAAAAGGAAGTTACAGGACAAGATGCATGGAAGGTTTCCTTTTACGTTCATTCTATTTTTAAATGTTGTTTGTTTTGAGATGGAGTTTTGCTCTTTCGCCCAGGCTGGAGTGCAATGGCTCAGTCTCGGCTCACTGCAACCTCTGACACCCCCTGCCCTCCCTACCTCGGGTTCAAGTGATTCTCATGCGTCAGCCTCCTGAGTAGCTGGGGTTATAGGCACTCACCACCATGCCTGGCTAATTTTTGTATTTTTAGTAGAGATGGGGTTTTGTCATGTTGGTCAGGCTGACTTCAGGTGATCCACCCGTCTTGGCTTCCCAAAGTGCTGGGATTACAAGTGTGAACCATCATGCCTGGCCTTAAATGTGTTTCACCGTGCCTCGTCGCCTAGGCTGATATGCAGTGGTGTGATCACAGCTCACTGAAGACTTGACCTCCTGGGCTCCACTGACCCTCCTGCCTCAGTCTCCTAAGTAGCTAGGACTACAGGCGTGCACCTTGATGTCCTGGTGATTTTTATTTTATTTTTAAAATTTTGTAGAGACAGGGTCTCGCTATGTTATCCAGGCTGGTCTCGAACTCCTGGCCTCAAGCAATCCTCCTGCCTCAGCCTCTCAAAAGTGCTGGGATTACAGGCGTGAGCCCCTGTGCCCTGCCTCACACAGAGGGCCAGGCATGGTGGCTCATGCCTGTAATCCCAGCACTTTGGGAGGCCGAGGTGCCTATAATCCCAGCTCCTTAGGAGGCTGAGGCAGGAGCATCACTTGAATCCATGGAGGCAGAGGTGGCAGTGAGCCAGGAACGCACCACTGTACTCCAGTGATACTCCGTCTCAAAAAAAAAAAAAAAAAAAAAATGCAAAAGAGACAAATGACCCCACAGAAAAACAGGCCAAGGCTGTGGGCAGGTGATCCCAGGAAGAGAAACAGAGGTGAGGAGCTAAGGGCAGATGGGGAGATGGGAAGAGCGAGAGGGAGAAAGAGACCAGCATGAGGGGTCAGAGATGGGCCCACCCAGGCAGCACCCGGGATCACAGCCAGCTGGGGGCAAGGTGAGCAGATGGAGGGAAGTCAGGGAGCCCCTGGAGAGGGCTGGATGTGGGCAATGCTGGCCAGATGAGTGGTCAGGGTGGGGCTGGGGAACGATGACCAGGCTGGGTTGTCAGGCCTCGGGCAGCTGGGGACAGGAGGGGACAGGTCCACATCAAAGGGTCGCGCCACCAGCAGCTGGCAGGGCCCCACGCTTCCTCGCTGAGCCAGGCTTTGCCCTTTGATGTGTGCAGCGGGAGGGGCTCTGGGCCCCCTGGGCTTCCCTGCCCACTCCCGACTCACACTGGGCATGCAGCGCTGCCAGAGTTGGCCCAGTCACCCGGCTTGGGAGAGGGACAGAGTGAAATGTGGTGGCTTGAGGCTCCCGAAGTGCAGCCAGAACCAGGGAGCAGGTCTCCTGGTTGGTGGAGAGTGAACACCTAGGCTTGCGTCCCCAGAGCTTATCGGGGCCGAGGGGTCTGCCTGGGCCATACCACTCTCAAGCTGGGATCGTCCTATGCCAACCCAGCGTGGGCCAGCCAGGCCCCATCAGACCCACTATACAGAGGCAAACTGAGGCCTGGAGTGGCCGGGAGGTCGTTTTTACAGAGGTGCAGCCCACCAGCACCCTTACCCTTCTCTCCCCTGGCTCCTGGGCCTTGCAGGGGGAGGGAGCAAAGTGGGAAGGAGATGAGAGGCAGAGAGCGGGTAGCCGGTCCCCAGCATCCGCCGCCCCTCCCCACAGTACTTCTGGCTGCTGGTCCTGTCTCGGGGGCTGGTGGGCATCGGCGAGGCCAGCTACTCCACCATCGCGCCCACCATCATCGGCGACCTCTTCACCAAGAACACGCGTACGCTCATGCTGTCCGTCTTCTACTTCGCCATCCCACTGGGCAGGTGAGAGCCGAGACACCGGGCTCTGGCTGAGGATCTGGGGAAGGTGCCCTGCACCCTCAGGGAACTCAACAGGTGGATGGCCAGCCTTTGAGAAACGCCTGGACCCACTCCCTGGCCAGCTGGCCGGGTGGGGAGGGTGGGCAGCCTCCTCGAAGACCAGTGGGCACTCCCTGTCCCCAGCCCGTCTCTGCTCAGCCTGACGTGTGTCTCTTCTCTGCAGCGGCCTGGGCTACATCACTGGCTCCAGCGTGAAGCAGGCAGCCGGAGACTGGCACTGGGCCTTGCGGGTAAGGCCTACGTCCCTTCCCTCCACAAGGACACCCTCTAGTCCAGACCTCGCCCCAGGGTTGCCCAGAGAGGGAGCCCAGGCGAGGACGTAGGCCTCCAGGATTCCTCCCCAGCTGCCTGGACCCTGAAATCCCTGCCCTTCCAGATTAGTACAGCTCGAGGTGTCAGAATGCTCAGGCGGGCGGGGAGCCAGACACAGTCCTGCCGCCCTCAGGGCCCCCAGGCTGAGGGTTGGAATCTCCTGCCCAGGAGTCCCAGGTTGAGAACCAAGGATTCTCCCACCATGTCAGGAAATTCCATGTCCATGGTGGTGCTTCCTGCTTCCAGCCCTGGCACTGTGCTAGGGTAAGGCTGGGACAAGACCTCTGCATGGGAGCCCCAGGGTCTGGAGTCACTTCCTGTCTCACTGGGTTTGGGGCAAGTTACCGAGGCCCCAGGACAGTGCAATCGGAGGAAACAGGCCCCCAGTGTCTCGGAGGAGCGGAAGCTTAAGACAAAGTGTTTTTTCCTAAAAGCAGGAAGGAAGCGGCCTCCGTGGAATTTCTTAATGGGGGGGGGTGGTGCGAGAGGGAGGTGGCATGCAGAGGAACTCCCCAACCCAGGGGCTCCCAGTCCCGGGGGCGTGAAGGGAGACTGTTCTGAGGGGTTGCTGGGATGGAATCCAGGCTGCCAGGATGTCACCCTCCCATCTGGAGAGAAACCTGGGGCCTTGGAGGTTCTCTTCTGGAAAATGGGCTGGACACAGGGAAGACCCAAAAGGGCTGGTGAGCCTCTTCCTGTGGGGCTTGTATGGGCCATCCCCCTAAATGCCAGCCCACCTGGTCTGTCAGTCAGACGCTCCACGCCCAGACAGCACCTTCCCAGTGCCCTGTGACTCAGGAACCTATGTTGGGAACCTGCCTCAGGAATTCTCTCCTCCCTCAAAGTCATCATCCCATCTGGCTATCTACTTCTCTCATTCGTCCATCCATCTGTCCGTCCGTCTGTCTGTCCATTCATCCGTCTGTCCATACATCCATATATCGATTCATCCCTCCCTCCCTCCCTCCTGTTCTCCATCCATCTCTTTAGCCATCTTTCCTCCTCTGTCCATCCACACACTGCTCCACTTACCCACCCCTTCTTCCTCCCGTCTGTCTGGCTTCCTTCCCTGCATCTTCCCTGCTCCGGTCCTGCCCCTGGTCTGGAAGGTCCATCTCAAGCCCCCAGCCCCTTGACTGACCTCAGCCCCAGCTTTTCTCAGCAGCCCAGTTAGGAAGGCTTGGCAGACCCCAGCTCAGAGGAAAAGCCTGTGGCCTGGAGAAGTCACGGTTTGCCCGAGACCCTCCTTCTGCAGCAGAGACGAGGCTGGCTAGGCCCTGGTGTCCTAACTTCCTGCTCCCTGATAGGTGTCCCCTGTCCTGGGCATGATCACAGGAACGCTCATCCTCATCCTGGTCCCAGCCACTAAGAGAGGCCATGCCGACCAGCTTGGGGACCAGCTCAAGGCCCGGACCTCATGGCTCCGAGATATGAAGGCCCTGATCCGAAAGTGAGTATGGCTGGGAAGGGCCTGGCGGGCAGGGGGAGGAGTGCTGAGGTGAGGGGCTCTCCCTGCAGGGCAGCCCTCCGCACCCTCAGCTGGACACACGCCAGCTCTGCTGTCTCAGTGCTGGGAGGGACGTTTTGGCCCCAAGAATCCATTATTCCTGCAGCCTGAACCTTCACCCCTGGGGCCTGTAAGACGAGGCTTTTGGGGCCTTCTGTCCCCCCAATGCACGGGGCTGCCCGTGGGAGCTGGAGGAGGTCCCTCAGCTCAGTGCCACTGCCTGGCCTCTCCCCAGCCGCAGCTACGTCTTCTCCTCCCTGGCCACGTCGGCTGTCTCCTTCGCCACAGGGGCCCTGGGCATGTGGATCCCGCTGTACCTGCACCGCGCACAAGTCGTGCAGAAGACGGCGGAGTCGTGCAGCAGCCCGCCCTGCGGGGCCAAGGACAGGTGGGGCCCCTTGGGGTGGGACCTTGGACAGGAAGGCCCCTCAGCCTGAGCCCTGACGCCCCTCAACTCATGCCCCCATCCTCTGTCCCCACAGCCTCATCTTCGGGGCCATCACCTGCTTTACGGGCTTCCTGGGCGTGGTCACGGGTGCAGGGGCCACGCGCTGGTGCCGTCTGCGGACCCAGCGGGCCGACCCCCTGGTGTGTGCCGTGGGCATGCTGGGCTCTGCCATCTTCATCTGCCTGATCTTCGTGGCTGCCAAGAGCAGCATCGTAGGGGCCTATGTGAGTGCGGTGGGGGGAGGGGTGCTGGGGGAGCTGGGCCTGGGCCACGGGAGGGTCTAGAATGGGAAATTCGGTCTGACTTGTGGGATGGTCCCTTCCCTAGGGAGGCTCCTGTTCTCTGGCTGCCCTGCGAATCCCTGGCCTCTTGTGTCCTCTGGGTGCCTCAGGGCCATGGGCATGGCTTGAAGTCTCTGGACGGCCCATGAATGGATGCGGGCCTGGGAGGGGGGTGAGGTTTTGTGGGCTCCCCGCCAGCAGCCAGTGTAGGGAGCAGCCCGTGGCCGCTGCAGGGGGAGGGTCCCCTGATGGTTGCTTTGCTCTCTTCCTGGGCAGATCTGTATCTTCGTTGGGGAGACACTGCTGTTTTCCAACTGGGCTATCACCGCTGACATCCTCATGGTGAGCCAGGGAGGCTGAGGTCACCTTGTGCAGCTGACCCAGGCCTCGACCTCACAGGGGCGGCTGGGAAGGGCGGGTGAAGGGGCAGGAGAGCTGGTAGGGGGTGGGCGGGAAGGCAGGCCTGGCGGGAAGGTGAAGCCAGAGGCAGGGAGGGGATCAGAGTTTGGGGTCTGCGTCTGGACAGGGCCAGGAAGCAGAGGGCTAGGCGGGCAGAGTGAGATGTGGGGACCGGGTGGGGAGGGGTGTCTCGAGGCTCAGGTTAGTGTCTGGGAGGCTGGCAGTGCCAGGCTGGCACCGAGGTACTGCTGCCTGCCAGCACTCCTCCCCCCGGGTCTGAGTGTTCATGGGCTCTGCCCCTCCTTGCTCAGCCTGGCTCCCAGGCGCGCCTGCCCGAGTGCCTGTGGCTGGGGCTGGCGGACAGAGGCCGTCTTCACAGGGCCAACAATGGGCTCCAGACCAGCCGGCAGGGGACAAAGGGCCGTCTGAGTGGCCAGCAGGCGCTTGTGTCCCTGGGTGGGGATGGGAGCACCCTGGGAGGAGCCAGGAGGGGGCTAAGAATTCGTGGCTGGCTGGGGGTGGCAGGGGTGTGACACTTGGTCTCGTGCCCAAGGATCAGCCTGGCCAGGGTTGGCAGGGGACAGGGGAGTGTGTCTGAGAGGTGTCAGGGCAGGCTCTGGGGCAGACAGAGGAAGGACTCATGGGTGGACCTTCAGGGTGCTTGCAGTTGGGTGCCCAGCATGGGACAGCCCAGGAGATGAGTCTGCCAGGCACCGCAGCCCCTGCTGGCTCCTGTGCTTTGGGAAGCCTGCCTTGCCCACCCCGAGCCTCCTGGTGTATCCACTTCCCCTGGGCTGTCTCTTTCTGTCCCCCTGAGTCCATGTGCTGCGGTGGTGGTGGGGAGGTCTGATGCAGCTTTGAGCCTCAGCACAGAGCCAGGCAGTGGCAGGAGTGGGCTGGGGTCGCTGCCCACGCCCAGTGTGAAGGGACGAGTGAGTCTGTGCAGATCAAGTGCCCTTGGTGCTGGCCAGGACCCCTCCTCCCCTGCCTCCACCACCCCCGGGGGAGTACCTGCCGGCTGCCAGCAGGGTCAGGGTCCCAGGGAAATTGTGTCCCAGTTTATTCAGTGTCAGTTGACTCCTGCTGGAAACGAGGCCGCTCCGTTTAACCAGATGCAGGCCTTTTTCCACCCGCCCCCACCTTTCCTGCAATGCGGTGCCCATGGGTGCTGACTGCTGATGTCCACTAAGGCTGGCACTCCAAAGAGGTGAGGCAGCTGGAGCTCAGGGCACAGGGGCTCGGGACACCCACAGAGCTGGCTGTGCCTGTCCCGCCCCCGCCCCAGCCCCTCCTGACTCTGGTCTGCCCCGCTTTGAAGTGGGCCTCCTGTGGCTCGGGCCTGCTTGGTCTGATGGGGGCCTGGGGCCCAGCAGTACCTGGCATTCAGTGCTGAGGTGCCCACGGGTGTGAGCAGAGGCTCTTCCAGGCAGGGGCCTGCCTCACCAGCTCCCGTCCCAGGCGTCAGGCCTTACTTGGTCCTCAGGGAGGGGAACCAAGATGGGTCTTTAGCTTGATGGGAGTGAGGACAAATGGCCCCAGCTAGAGTTCGGGTTCCCCTGGAACACGTGCCTCTCTGGGCCTCGGTGTCCCCGTGACTATGGGCCAATGGCAGAAGCCACGGCAGCCTGGTCTCAGGAACAGAGCGAGAGCGGAGCAGGAGAGGTGGCGGTGTGGCTGTTCCCGATGGCTCGGAGGGCTCTGGGCTAATGGCCTCTAGTGACTGGCACCTGGGCAGCCCCCAAATTACCTTCCCTTGGCTGCAAGTAGCTGGGAGGGAGGTGAAGATTCCCATTTGAGGGGCGTCCCGGGAGCACAGCAGGTTTGAGGGCAATGATGCTTTCGTTCTGGGGCAGGTGGCACTGGTCTGGGCTGGAGGTGGGGAAGCCCCTGGCGCTGAGGGGGTGACTGAAGCTGTGTGTGAGTGGAGGGGCTCAGGGAGGAGAGGGGTGGCTGGCGGGGAGGAGGGCAGGGTCCAGACGGGAGGAGGGAGTCTGAGGGTGTGGGGCTTCGGAGGTGCCAGGCCCGGGGCTGGGGCTGGCTCTTCGGGCCGCTGACCTGCCCGCCTCTCCCTCAGTACGTGGTCATCCCCACCCGGCGCGCCACGGCTGTGGCCCTGCAGAGCTTCACCTCCCACCTGCTGGGGGACGCCGGGAGCCCCTACCTCATTGGCTTTGTGAGTTGCCCTGCGGGGGTGGGGAGGGGTTGGCCTGGGGAGGCTGAGGGCTTCGAGGGCTGTGCCCTGACACCCACCCCCCACATCCTCACAGATCTCAGACCTGATCCGCCAGAGCACCAAGGACTCCCCGCTCTGGGAGTTCCTGAGCCTGGGCTACGCGCTCATGCTCTGCCCCTTCGTCGTGGTCCTGGGGGGCATGTTCTTCCTCGCCACGGCACTCTTCTTCCTCAGCGACCGTGCCAAGGCTGAGCAGCAGTGAGTGGGGCTGAAGGGAGGCTGCTGGGAGCTCTGCTCGGGGGTGGCAGAGGGGAGACCTGGGTGCACCCAGTGGGTGGCCTGGTTGCTGGGGTCCAGTCCCCGGGCCTCCCGCGCCTGTGGGGCTCAGCGCCAGCATCGGCCTGGAGCTGTGGGGGGCCACAGGGGTGTCTGGTGGTCCAGGCTTGGACTTGGTGGTTTTCGAAGCCGGGACCCCTCCCCCTTCCTTTTCCTCTCACCTTCTGACTTCTTTCTCCTTTCCTCTTCACTCCTCTCTCTCTCCTCTCCCCACCCCTGGGCTCTCCCACCTCCCCCTGGGGCTGACGAGGTCCCTGCCCAGCACCTCCGGTCAGCTGGCCCCCACGACGCGATGTGCCAGAGCAGTGCCCGGGCCCGGCCCCTGCTGACGCGCCACCCTGACCCCCGCCCGTCTCTCCCCCAGGGTGAACCAGCTGGTGATGCCGCCCGCATCTGTGAAAGTCTGAGGTGGTGAGTGCAGGCAGGGAGGCCCTCGGGGAGGGGAGGGGGAAGGCCAGGGCTAGGTGACAGGGAGCACTCTTCCTCCAGAGTCCCCTCCTGCCCCAGCACCTCCCACCAACCCTAGGCTTGGACTCTGATGTTGCCAGAATTCACTGATGGAGCTGTGGGTCAAGGCTCCAGCTTCCAGTAAATAGCTCCCCTTCCTTCCTTCCTTCCTTCCAAGGGCTGGGTGTGGCCTGGCCAGAACTCCCTGCTCTATCAGGACTTCTGCCCTCCTGGGTCCTCCTGGAGGTACCAGGGCCTGGCTCCTCGGACCTTCCCTGTGGGAGCTACAGCTTCCCAGCAGCATGAGAACCAGGGTCACAGCCCCAAGCCCGGGGGGAGCCCTGCTGCTCCAACGGCAAGTGGAGGAGGGAGGGAGGGCAGCCTGGCAGGGGGCCCCACCGAGCCCCTTCTGACCCGATGCCCCTTTCCCCAGGTGCCACTGGGACAATGAAGAACCCACACTCCCACCTGGTCTGGAAGGTGTCCTACAGCGTCCGGGACCGCCTGGGCTGCCCACCAGCCTTTTGTATGATCCACGGCTAGGCGCCCACCCGCTCTGGCCAGGACCTGCTGAGTGGCCCTGGCTTCAGGAAGAGGCGGTGTCCTCAGTCACCCTGGAAGGCTGTGTGTGTTGGAGCCACGAGGCTGGACAGATTCCTGGCCCTAGGTTTGGGCTGCCAGGCCCCTGGGGCCAAGGAAGAAGGCAGCCCGAAGTGGGTGTCCAGCGAGAGCCTGGCCTGCCACCAGCCTATGTGATCCTGGGCAAGTCCCTGCCCTCCCTGGAACGCAGGGCCAGGCGGCTGGACTTTCCCAGGCAACTTGCTGGGCAAAGCACGATCCGCAGTTTTGAAGACTCACCAGGCCCTGGGCCATATGGAGAGGAAACGGCCCAGGTCTCGGGGCGGCAGTCCCAGCTTTGAGGCCCAGGTGAGGGCCGGCATTCAGGACCACGGCTTTTCAGCTGGCCTCTGACCTTGGGGGCATTGGACTCAACCTGGCAGATGAAGCTGGGCACCCCCTGGCCGGGCGGGTCTCGCTTGAGGCCACTGTCTATCTCGGGTTGGCTGGTGGCCTGGAGGTCCCAGGTGGGGACTGTTCTGACAAGCTGGCATCACCAGGGGTGAAGGCCCTGGCTGCAGCGGCACACCACCTGGGCCCCAGGAATATTTCTGCTGTCTAGCCCTTCCCTGCCACCACCCCAAGCCAGGAACCCACTCCCTCCAGAGGCTGGGCTGAGCCTTGGCCAGGGCCAGGGCCCGGGCCCGGGCCCAGAAGACCATTCCCAGAATTTATGGGGCAGCCGCCAGGCCTCCACTGCCGGAGGAAGCAGCTCTCCACAAAGCTTCCTGCATGGGCTGAGGTGCTGGGAGAGGCCAGCCCCTATCACACAAATGACCCCCTGGGGCCAGGCCTTCACTCTGGCTTTGATCACCCCACTCACGCCTGTGCGCACACCAAGATGCAGCTGCCAACGTCACACCAGCCCCAAACCCCTTTGGGGGAGCTTAGCCCTGTGTCACACACTCCCTGCACATTTGTTGCCATCAAGGTGGTGCTGGTGTCGGGGGCCCCAGTGGCCAGTAGGAGACCCCAAGAGCTGGCTTGGACAATGCTCTTCCTACCCCTTAGTTACTGGCTGGCTGTGGCTTCAGTGGGTGTAAGCTAGTGGAATACCCACCCACCGAGCTCTGGGGTACCCGGGGAGGCTTGATGAGGGTGGGGTGGGGGTGGTTACCCCCGAAGCCCAGCCTCCACCCCAGCCTCAGCCGGGGCCCCAGCGATGTTTTCTTGTTGTACAAGAACTGGTCCAAGTGTTGCCTCCTCTTCCTTCCGGAAGCCAAACTGCTCCTTTATTTTTTAGAGCTGCTGATTGATTGTGAATCTCAGAGTCTTAAGAGAGAAGCCAAATATATTCCTCTTGTAAATGAAGAAATAAACCTATTTAAATCACTCCCTGTGGCTCCCTCAGCAAAAAAGCCTGGGGGTGGGGGAGAGATGTGAGTGACGGTCACACTTGTACCCAGCCTGCAGCCAGCATGTCACCCTGTACCCACCCAGGTGAACCCCAGAGCCCTGGACCTGGCCCACAGGGCCCTGAAGCCACAGTCCCAGCCTAGAACCAGGGGGGTCTCTGCATCCTGGGACCCATGCAGGAACGGCTTGGGCTGTGCTTACCAGAGCAGGATGCCTGGGCAGGCAGTGACACCCTCCCTGGGGACAGAGCCTTAGAAGTGGCTTGTATATTCAAAGCATGGTGGAAAAACAGAAGACTTGGGCAGACGGAGGCTGAGGGTGGCCTGCACTCAGGGCTTCCCGGCCTTCCTCAGCTGTGCTTTCTTCTTCTTGCTCCCACTTTGGAGCAGGCTGGGGCTCCTGATGACCAAAGGCGGCCTTGCTTTTTTCCGTGCCAGTGTGGAAGGTGGCAATTTGTCCAAGACCCCCTTTTTGGGAAGAGCCTCGTGGTGGTGCTTTTGGCCTGCAGGCTTCGTCGGGGAGCCGGGAGCTCCATTCATCTGGGACAGCTTCTGGTTGTTCTTCCGCAGTTTTGGGGACTTGGCAGGGGTGCTGGGGCTCAGGGTGGGGGTGCCAGGGGCTGGGCTCTTGGTGGTAGGCATCCCGTTGGCCCGGGCCGGGACCTTGGCCTTTGTCCTGTTCCTCTTCCTGCCCGTGCCGGGGGGCTGGCTCCCGCCGGTGGCTGCAGGCGTGCCGTCCTCCGACGTGTGTTTCTTGCGCTTCTTTGTCTCTGGCAAGAAGCCCTTTTTCTTCCGCTTCCTGCTGATGGGGCTCTGGGTGGCGCTGGGGATCTCCTTGGCATCCTTCTTCTCCAACTTGGGGCGCCTGAAGGGAAGTGAGCAGGTAAGAAGGTGCCCAGTGAGGGCGCCAGCCACCTCCACCCGGGTCTCGTGGGGCCCCAGAAGCCCAGGGCTCCCCCATCTGAGCGTGCGCAGCAGTGTGAGGGTGATCCGAGTCCCGCCCAGAACCTACTGGACTCCCAGGGTTTTCATGGCCTGCCAGTAGAGGTCGAGCAGGCGGCTGGAGCCGGTGGAGTGCGCGCCCTGCTGCAGGCCCTGCTGCTGCCCCTGCAGCACGCCCAGGAGCACCGTCAGGTCCAAGGTCAGCTTCTGCAGAGGGTGGGAAGGCAGAGCGGTGGTGGCCGCAGGGGGCAGGCCTCTCTGGGGCTCCCGGTGGTCTTCCCACCTTGGCCCCATGGCTGTCTCGCCCGCGACCCCTGCACTCTCCTCGGCCTCAGCCTCTCCTCTCCTGCCTGTTAAGGCGTCCGTGTCTCTCTCAGCATTGGAGGAAACACATGCCAGGTGTTGGCTCTCCTCCCCACAGCCGCAGGCCTGGTCTCCGAGTCTCTGCCGTGGCCCTGGTGCGCCCACCTCCAGGAGGGCCATCCCCGCCACTCCATCACTACAGGGTGCCAATGCCCTTCCCCCCAGCCTCCCTGCACATCCTGAATGGGTTACTGTTGGAATCCGCTGGCGTCCAGGAGTCCTGCTCTCCTGGCTTCCTCGCTATCACCCAGTTTTGCAAGGCCCCATCCCCAGCCCCACCTCTGCCCGCCGGTACAGCCTTGGCAAGCTCTTCCTCCGTAAGGGCTGACTGGCACCTATGCTGAGGCCCCCCAAACCTTGCCCTCTGGGCCAGACTGGGAGACCGAGATGGCCACCTACAGCTGCCTCCCAGCCCTGCCCTGTGGCTGCCCAACCTGTCACATTCCACCCGTCCACGGCCTGCACCAGGCCTGGAAACATGGCCTCCCTAACGTAGGTCCACCGAGTCTTCTCCCACCCTTCACCATCTCCAGCCCTGCTGGCCCCTTCTCAGCCTTCTCACTGGACACGGCAGTGCCACACCCTTGCACCCCGCCCTGCAGTACAGGGTGGCACAGTCCCTGTCCTAGTCACTCGCCCATCCACGGCTCTGTAACTACACAAATGACAGCCCAGAGCCCCGACTGAGGCACTGAGAACCTTCCCCACATGACCCCCACCCCTAAGGTCCGGCTTGGTGAATGGTACTGCTGCCCGGGAGACCTCGAGGCCCCCAGGAGGAACCCCACACTGCCCCGGGCCGGGCCCCGCCTCACCTCGTGTTTGCAGGTCCTGAAGAGAGTATTGAGCAGCTCCAGGGAGGACAGCGCCTGCTGGTGCTCCGCCTTGGTCTGCGCCTCCCCCAGTGCGCGCAGGTTCTGCGGAGGGGTGGCCAGGCTGAGGCACTCCAGAGAGCTGTCAAAGCCTTTGTTGCCCAGCAGGGACTAAAGCTCAGAGGCAGGGACGGTCTCCTGGGCCAATCCCAATTCCCCGTCCCCCCATCCCCCATACTCCGGGAGGCTCAGGCTCCAATCTTGGCTTGTCCTCTCCCAGAGAACCAATCCCAAGCAGGTGGGGAGGAGGGGCGCCCCCTGGCTGTTACCTCCGTGACCTTTGTCAGGACCTGGCCGATGAGCTGCTTCCACTCGGGGTCCTGGAAGCACGACCTCACCTCCCGCATGGACAGGGTCTTCTGGAGCAGCAGGCAGGCCTGGGCCTGTGGTTGGGTGAAGGTGGCTGCCTGGAGCCTCAGCACATTGGGTGCAAGAGACTGAGGGGGGCGAGGGGGCCTGCCAGGCATGGCTGTGGGCGGCGTGCGAGGCCACCTGCTGCTCTGGGCTCTGTGACCACCTGCTTGCGTGCCTTCACGTACAGGTGGGGGCACCGAGGCCTCCTAGCTGGATAGAGGTGGGACCTCGGGAGGGACAATTCCTACCCATTCCTGGCTAATGCCATCTTCATTCAGTTTGCCCCCAGTAGCCCTGGCACCTGAGCAGACACTACTGGGGTGTCCTCTGTGTGGCCAGATGGGCAGCGGGAGTGAGGCCAGCCCCGCCCCCTCAGTGCCTCTGTGCTCATGGTGTGGCAGGGACAGCTGCGCCCGTGTTCACCAGGGCAGTGCTCTGGGGCCTCAGAAGCGGGTTAGGCAGGTTAATTCACACAGGCCCTGGGCTGGGAGCCGGGAAGTGTCTTACCTGCTGGCGGGGCCGCCCTGGGCCTGTGATGTGCTGGATCAGGACGGGGAGCAGGCTCTTACAGAGCACCTGGCAGGGAGGGGAGGGCTGTGAGGCATGGGTGGGGCTGAGAGGGGACCCCAAGTGGGCAGGGTGGGCCCTGACACTCACCGGGTGCCGGGAGAAGAGGCTCAGGAACATGGGGACCGTGAGGGGGCTGTGGCGCTTGGTCAGGAAGGAGCTCAGTGCTGACGAGTAGACGTGCATTGCAAGGTTCAAGTCCAGGCAGCCGGCAGCCTAGGCCAGGTGAGAGAGCTGGCTGAGGCCAGGAGAGGGCCTCTGGGACGGGAGCAGAGACTGGGCTAGCTTCGGATGGCAGAGGGTGGGTCCTGGGGAAGTGTGAAGTGCGTGGGTTCCACCTGGGCCAGGCCCTGCTCACCTGCGGGCCCTCAGGCGCGGGGCTGGGGTCGGTGCCAGCCTCCAGCTCCTCCTGCGTCTCGTGCACGCGCCCCTCAGCAGTGCTGCCCTTCAAGACCCGGAGCAGGTAGAGGGAGGCGTTGAAGTGGTAGAGGGCGGTGGAGGAGTCGGGCTGGCGGCCAGCCTGCTCCACCAGCCGCGCCACCTGGCCATGCAGGGCCTCGACGCGGTCACCCAAGTCGTGGCAGTAGCGACGGCCACGGCACAGGTGGTGACTGTGGGTGGTGAGGACAAGAGCTGGTCAGAACAGACTCGGTCCACCCCGCTCTGCCAAGCAGTGCCAAGCAAGTCCCACTTTACAGGTGGGGAAACAGACCTGGAACACAGGCGTGACCGAGGCCACAGAGGAAGGCAAGACCGCCTGCAGGTTGCTTGGGAGCTATGTGGGCTCGGCGTGCTTGGGCGAGGGGGCACCCCGGGGGAGAACAGAACAGCTCCCCGAGGAGGGCTGCACCAGGGCCAGCCACCCGCCTGGCGCCCCTCTCCTGTCCATTCTCATGGGGCAGTGGTAAAGCGAGGTGAGGGTTCTGTGCTCAGAACCCTATGTGGCCCTGCAGGGCCGGGACAGAGTGGGGATGAGGGGCAGGATGCTCAACGAGCGACACTGTCCACGCACGCTGGCAGAGCTGAGAAGGTGTGGCCTGGGGCTGAGTGGAGGATGACCACCAGCCACGCCCCTCGCCCTGCAGAGCATCCGTGCAGTGCCCAGGGGCCCAGGCCTTCGACTACCCAGCACCAGCACCTGAGCCCTTGAAGGCAGGTCTGTACCTGGCGCCTGCCATCGCCTCCCTGCTGGGCCCTGCCCAATTCTCCACACCACCAGCCATTTCCGAACACGGAAACCAGACCCACAGCCTTCCCCACGCTCATGCTCCTGCTGAAAATGCCTCTGTGGTCCCCAGCCCCACTAGGGTCAGGCCCTTCGAGGGTTCAGGGGCCTGTGGCCTCACGCCTCGCCTGACCGCCTCCCATCGGGACGCTCTTTTCCCTTTCTGCACTCCCCAAGGCCTCCCACCCTGACAAACTCCCAGGTACACTGCAGCCCCAAGGACTGGGTGGGTGTCCCCTGCCACAGGTGCTGCCACTGTCCCCACCCACCCCCCACACAGCCCCACCGGAGACTGTCAAGGGCTGGGGTGGACCCCAGCTCCAGGGCACCGCTCGAATGTGTCAGGAGAACACAAGGATGGACCAGGGACTGTGTGAGTCACTGAGTGACACGTGACCTAGGGCTGAGCGGTGAGCCTGCAAGCTAGGGCCCAGGCTGGAAGCTTGGCTCTCTCCTTCCCGTACAGAAAGCAAGCCAGGCGTTCTGCCTGGGGAATGGGGGCTGGGGGCTGCTGGCCGCACCCGCCCGCCTGCCCGCCTGCCCTGCCCCGCGCTCACGTGAAGATGCGCGCTGTCTTGTGCAGGAGGTCCTGCTCCTGCTTAGAGCTGCTGCTGCGCAGGCTGCGCCGGATGATGCCCAGCAGCGGCTCCAGCAGCTCCAGGACCAGGACGTTCTCGGGCTGCTTGGTCACCAGCACCTCCACCAGGTCCAGCACCTGCGGCCGAGAGAGCTGGTCAGCAAGGCGGGGGCGGGGCGCAGGGGGGCGGGGATGGAGGCAGTGGGGGAGCTGGCCCCCAGGCTCACCCGAATCTGGAAGTCACGCCGCAGCGCCTTCTCCTTCTGCAGCCTGCTCTTCTCGTCTCGCCGGGCCTGGATCCGCAGCTTCTGCTCGGCAAAGAGACTGGCGAGGCTCTGGTCCAGGGCCATCATGGCCTCGTCCCCCAGCTCCTCCTCGTCCTCGCTCTCCTCTCCACCCTGAGGGACAGAGGCCCAGCAGTCAGCCTGGCCTCGGGCAGGTGGGCACACAACACGGGCACTCACGAGCCCTCCCCGGCCCCGCTCACCAGCGCCTTCCCAGCCTGCAGCACGCTCATTAGCTGCTCCCGGAAGCCCTGGTCCACGTCCCCGTCACGCTCCTCCTCCTCGCTCTCTCCCCCATCGCTCTCGTCTTCACTCTCCGAGCCTCTGTTCTCCTCGCTGTCCTCGCTCTTGTCCTGTGGGATGGGGACAGGCGCGTCACACACCTCCGCAATCCTCCCACTCCCGCGATCTTCCGACTCCCACCACCCCGCCTGGCCCGCGCCGGCAGGACCTCTGCGGCCTTCAGCCACCGCTCGTCAGACTCGTCTGTCACCACCACATGGTCATCCTCATCCTCACTGGTCTCGGGGTTCAGCACCTGGGGAGGAGACCTGGCCACTGACCCATCTGCGGCCCCCGCCCGGCCTTGGCCAAAGGTCCCCATTTCAGGGAAGAAAACAGCCTGAGAGAGGTGTCCACACCCTGCAAGGCCAGGACAGGGCCTTGCCGAGACCCCTCCCACCAGGCGCAGGCTTGCAGGAGGGAGGCTGGGAGGCCACAGGCTGAAGCGTCCCCCCACCCGGTGCAGCTTGCTGCCCAGTGAGCCCCAGCCCAAGGTGCATTCCCAAAGGTCCCAACTCACATCCAGAATCAGCTGTAGGGCACGCGGGGTCAGGTGGGAGCAGACGTGGCCGAACACGCTCCGGGCCACTTGACGCATGAGGTGGCTGGGCTGGGCCAGCAGGGCCAGCAGGATCTCCACCAGCACCTCTACCCATGGGGGTTCCTGGGGGTCTGCAAGGGGGGGATTGAGCCCAGGCAGGGGACCGATGGCCTCACTGCGCCACTCCAGTCCCTCTCGTGCCCAAGGACGCACCCTGTCCCAGGAGCAAGGACCCACCGATGGCCTTGGTACGGCTCCCACGGCGCCTCTCTCCCAGGCTCTTTCTGATGCAGGTCTGGATGTCACCCAGCAGGTCACAGCTCTCTGTAGGGGACTGGGGACAGGGCAGGACACACACTGGGGACAGCCCTTCTGAGCCAGGCAAGGGGCTGGCCAAAAGGAAGCAGTGGCACCAGAAGTCTTCAACAGCCCAGCCACTGGCCCGCCCCGGCCAGCCATCCTACAATCCAGAATGGAAGACCCCAGCTGGACCCCAGAATATCGAGGGCTGAGGGCCCCTTTTTTTTTTTTGAGACGGAGTTTCGCTCTTGTTACCCAGGCTGGAGTGCAATGGTGCGATCTCGGCTCACCACAACCTCCGCCTCCCAGGTTCAGGCAATTCTCCTGCCTCAGCCTCCTGAGTAGCTGGGATTACAGGCACACGCCACCATGCCCAGCTAATTTTTTGTATTTTTAGTAGAGACGGGGTTTCACCATGTTGACCAGGATGGTCTCGATCTCTTGACTTCGTGATCCACCCGCCTCGGCCTCCCAAAGTGCTGGGATTACAGGCGTGAGCCACCGCGCCCGGCTGGCTGAGGGCCTTTTTACATCTAATACACAGTTACAGGATCTGAATTACAGATCAGTTACAGCAGTTACAGCCCCCAATTCATCGTTCTAGATTACTTCCTCCATGCTTGGCTTGGCATGAGACAGGATTGAAAGTCATTAGTTTCAACTAATTTAATTATATCCGAACTCATCTGACGGGATAGCCCCAGACTCCAGGCACTGAAGTGGCAGAGTCTGTGTGCAGGGAATGTTGACAACTATGTGATCTTTGGTCCCGAAAAGGCAGACTTCCCTCACAACCCAGTGGGCAGCTTCAACGTTTAGGCCAGGGTAGGGAAAGCAGCCCAAAGCCCTGGTCACTGCTCCCGGCTCCCAGGCTGTGTGCCACGCAGGTCCCTGTCCTCCGGGCCGCACCTTTTTAATTTATTCATTTTTTTCTGAGATGGAGTCTTGCTCTGTCGCCCAGGCTGGAGTGCAATGGTGCAATCTCAGCTCACTGCAACCTCCGCCTCCCGGCTTCAAGTGATTCTCCTCCCTCAGCCTCCTGAGTAGCTGGGATTACAGGCGCCTGCCACCACGCCCGGATAATTTTTGTATTTTAGTAGAGACGGGGTTTCAGCATGTTGTCCAGGCTGGTCTCAAACTCCCGACCTCAGGTGACTCGCCTGCCTCGGCCTCCCAAAGTGCTGGGATGACAGGTGTGAGCTCCAGTGCCTGGCCACAGCTGCACCTTTTATCTGAGGGTTTGGCACAGCGAACTGCAGCCTCCTCTATGTAAGACCAGAGACCCCAAGGTTGCAGGCTCCATATGTGTCCTGGAATCAGCAGGGCTCCGTTGTTATCAAAGGTCTGATGCCAAGACCCAGAAGGGGTATCATGGGCGACCTTTACCCACACAGCTCATCCACAGGCTGGGCTCGGAATAACCAAAGCTGGCAAGTAAAACCACCATAGCCAAGTGGCCAGACAGGCTAAGTGAGAGACCCATGTACTCAGGCTACGTAAGACCAGCAGCCTCGGTAAGAGCCTCCCATGTTGTGAGAAGAAAACTCTCTAAGAATCAGGGTGAGGGCAGATGCAGTGGCTCACACCTGTAATCCCAGCACTTTGGGAGGCCAAGACCGGCGGATCACCTGAGGTCAGGAGTTCAAAACCAGCCTGGCCAACATGGTGAAACCCTATTGCTACTAAAAATACAAAAATTTGCCAGGCGCGGTGGCAGGCACCTGTAATCCCGGGTACTCGGGAGGCTGAGGCAGGAAAATCGCTTAACCCGAGAGACGGTGCTTGCAGTGAGCCAAGATCACGTCACTGCACTCCAGCCTGGGCCACAGAGCAAGACTCCATCTCAAAAAACAGACGGCCGGGCACGGTGGCTCATGCCTGTAATCCCAGCACTTTGGGAGGCTGAGGCGGGCAGATCATGAGGTCAAGAGATCGAGACCATCCTGGCCAACATGGTGAAACCACGTCTCTACTAAAAATACAAAAAAATTAGCTGGGTGTGGTGTCGCATGCCTGTAGTCCCAGCTACTGGGGAGGCTGAGGCAGGAGAATTGCTTGAACCGGGAGGCGGAGGTTGCAGTGAGCCGAGACCACACCATTGCACTCCAGCCTGGTGTCTGGTGATGGAATGACACTCTGTCTCAAAAACAAAGAAACAAAAAAGGAATCAGGGTACTGAGTGTTGAATGTGGTCAGGGCTTCCTGACGGGAAGAACTGACAGGAAGACCCCGTGGCTTTAGGGAACCCGTGGCCAGAAGGTGTTCCCACAGCTGGAGGGTACAGCGCAAGCTACTCTGCCTCTGAGTCTCAGTTTCCCCACGTCAAACATGGAGAAGCAGAGTCTGCCTCAAGTTGCGGGGATTTAGAAGGCCTGCCTGGAAAGCTCAGGACATCAGCTGGTGCCTGCTAAGGGGCCGGAGTGATGTTTCCTTGGGTGCTAGTTCCACCCGTGATGAGGCTGGCTTAGGAAACCTCCCCACATAACTCCCCAAGCCTATCCTGGCTCCCCCCCACAGCCCTCACAGCCGCAGAACCCCGGGCTCACGGCCCCTTGTCCCAGGCCACAGTACCTTGAAGAGGTGGATGCCCACGAGCAGCAGAAGGTGCTGGAAGGCGGCAGCCCTGGGCTCTGAGGAGGGGGCCTCCAGCTCCTTCAGAGTCTGCAGCATCCTGTGGGGAGCCAGGCAGATCCTCAGGCCCCGGCCGCCGTCAGACCGCAGCGTCCTGCCCACCCCCTGGAAATCCCACCTGCTCACCGGTCCCAGGCCTGGCGCTGCTGCGCAGTGAGGGGTGTCACGGGGGTCACGCTGTGGCTGTGATTCAGCAGCAGGTCTGCGAAGTGCACCAGGCGGTAGGTCCAGGGCGGCCCGCCCCCGGTCTGCTCCGATGCCGGCTTGAACTGCGTGCTGAGGGTCTGCAGCAGACTGGGCGAGGGGCAGGGCTTGGTCATCAGACCGATGAGTGAATACAGCCGGCTCCCTCCGCCCTCCCCAGGACCCCGGCCGTTGTCCCCAGCGTCGGGGAACTGCAGGGAACAGGCGTCCTCAAGGCCTTCCACCTTCAGACCTCTCCCGAGCCGCCCCAGGCTCACCTGAAGAAGGCGCTGCTGACGGCCTCGCGGGCCTGACTTTCCAAAGGGAGGGAGAGCTGCTGCCTTGTCTCGGGGATCTGGGATGTGGGCTTCTTTGTGACGAAGAACGAATGGAACAAACAAAACCTGGGGCGGGCGGGAGAGCAGCCGGCGCTGTTCACGGCCTTTTGTTTCCATGGGCTCCCATCCCCTAGTGGCATCACCCAGGGTTCAAGGCCAGGAGGAGGGGAGCCTTCTGTCCCCTTCTGCTCTGGGTACAGTCCTCAGGGCCCTCATGGGCAAGGCTGGAGGTGGCTGGGCCAGGAAGGGCTGGATCCCCAGCTGAACACGGCTCAACCCAAGCTGGGGAGAGAGAATTGGTGCCCCCTTTCAAGGAACCAAGAGACGTGAGGCTGCGTGGTCACGGCCGAGTCACGCCACTGCTCCTGCAATCACGGGGCCAGTGCAGCCCCCTCCTGCAACCGGGCACGCTGAGGGTGAGGTGAGCACCTGGCTCTGCTCGGGCACAGACGAGGCAGGTGTGGGGCAGGCTTCCCCGATGCCACCCATGGGCAAAGGCTCCCTGCAGGGCATGCATAGCATGCCTCAATCTCTTAGGCCGCCTGCAGCTGGGATGCCTTCTGGGTCCCTTCCCTACAGGTTCCTGAGGAATTCCCAAGTCCCCTTGTGCCTGCTCCCCACTAACGACTCAACCCAAAGGCTTCTGGCTCCAGAGGACACAAATCAGGATGAGTTGAGGGGCTCAATTCCTTGACCACACGCCCACGGGAAGCTCTAGCACCTCTCGTACCTGGCCACCTGCTCCATCAAGGACTCTTCCATCTCCAGGTGCAGGCTGTCCACAAGGCTCACCAGTCGGAGGATGATCCATTTCCGCAGCCGGAACACAGCTCGCTCAGGCCTGGGGCGCAGGGGCAAGGTCACGTGAGCCACTTAGAACTGGCAAAAGCAGGCTGGGCTCAGTGGCTCACACCTGTAATCCCAGCACTTTTGGAGGCCAAGGCTGGTGGATCACTTGTGGTCATGAGTTGGAGACCAGCCTGGCCAACATGGTAAAAACCCCATCTCCACAAAAAATTCAAAAATTAAGGCCGGGTGCGGTGGCTCACGCCGGTAATCCCAGCACTTTAGAGGCAGAGGTGGGGGGATCACGAGGTCAGGAGTCCGAGACCATCCTGGCCAACACAGTGAAACCCTGTCTGTACTAAAAATACAAAAATTAGCTGGGTGTGGTGGCACATGCCACCTAATTTCAGCTACTTGGGAGGCTGAGGCAGGAGAATCACTTGAACCTGGGAGGCAGAGGATGCAGTGAGCTGAGATTACGCCATTGTACACTCTAGCCTGGGCAACAAGAGTGAAACTCCATCTCAAAAAACAAAAACTAGCTGGGCGTGGTGGTGGGTGCCTATAGTCCCAGCTACTGCAGAGGCTGAAGCAGAGACTCGCTTGATTGCTTGACCCTGGTAGGGAGAATTTGCAGTGAGTTGAGATTACACACCACAGCACTCCAGCTTAGGCCAGAGTGAGGCTCCATCAGAAAAAAAAAAAAAAAAAAAAAAAAAAAAAGAACGAACTGGCAAAAATAGAACATTCCTTTAACTGATCTCAGAGACAGAAAACTAAGCTGTCCCCCTCCCAATTGCCCGTGTGGGACCCCACAAAGAAATCAAGGCCTTGTTTGAGAGCTATGGTGCTTCTCCTCTCTCTGCTCATGGTTTAGAGCCAGGACACGGGTTGGCGGCGGGGGGGGAGGGGTCGCTGGGCTCTGCAGGCCAGGGAAGCTAACTCCTGCAGGAGGGGTTCCTTTGCATGGTCCACTCACACGTGCAGCCATGCATCCTGAGCTTTCTTCTGGTTGTTGGTGCTGAAGTCAATCAAGGAGTCCAGGTCCGGCTGGAGAAACATGCCCTGCAGCCAGGCCACGTAGCCCTGTAGGGCCTGAGGGCTCAGGAACCGCACGACCCGCCAGAAGGTAGGCACCACGGGGAGGCCGTGGTTGGTGGTGGATGAGAAGGCCACCAGCACGGCCAGCTGCCGCTCAGGGTCATCCCGGCATCCCTCTAGGAAGGTGCCCACGTACTCCTCCATCTCCGGGGCGAACTTGAACTGGTTTGGGAGCTGTAAGAGTTAGGCACGGCACTGAGCCCACAGGCTTGCGGCTAAACCGAGGCCCAGGGTCTCCCCTTGCACACAGCAGGGTTGAGCCTGAGCTTGCTCCGTTCCGGGTCACCACAGTGCTTCCGTCTGGTGTCAAGGCCTCCCCGGGTCCGACTTCCCCAGCTTCAGTGCCTCTGGCCCCAGAAGGCCCCTCTTGCCACATTGCTGGGTGGGGATGGCCCGTTTTCCTGGCTCAATGCACGGGCAGAGTGGTGGTTAAGAGGCTAGGCTGACCCTGGTTCAAGGCCTATGCCGCCCATTCCTAGCCGTGTCATCTTTCGGACCGAACCCAACCACCTCTCACGCGCTGCCTCGGTGCCAGGACCGTGAGACACAAAAACTCCTCCGGGTCGGAGGGCTCCCAGTGGGACCACGTCTGGCCTCACAGCCCAAGCTCTTTTTAATTTTTTCCAGTTGTGCCCCTGGAGCGCAGTGCCACAATCATGGCTCACTGCAGCCTCGAAATCCTGGGTTCACGTGATCCTCCCACCTCAGCCTCCGGAGTAACGCGGACTACAGGTGCACGCCGCCGTCCAAGCCAGGCTCCTAACACTGCCTGATGCTTCAAGTCTGACTCTCACCCAGAATGACAGCTCTCGGAAACTCGCTGCCAAGATAAAATGAGCTGCTGAGAACAGTAAACCCAGCAGCGCTAACTGGGCACCAGGTATGCTGGGGTGCGAACATGGTCACGACGACTGTTCTCATCACCGCAACACGGGCGGGGGTGGAGGGAGGTCTGAACAGCCTGCTGGCTACTCACACCAAAGAGGGGGTCCGCTCCTTTTCAAAACTGGCAGAGGGAGGCCGAGCGCAGTGGCTCACACCTGTAATCCCAGCACTTTGGGAGGCCAAGTTGGGTGGATCACCTGAAGTCAGGAGTTTGAGACCAGCCTGGCCAACATGGCAAAACCCTGTCTCTACTGAAAATACAAAAATTAGCTGGGCGTGGAGGTGGGCACCTGTAATCCCAGCTACTCAGGAGGCTGAGGCACGATAATTGCTTGAACCTGGGAGGCGAGGTTGCAGTGAGCAGAGACTGCATCATTACCCTCCTGCCTGGGTGACAAGAGAAAACTCCCACTCAAAACAATCTGTCAGAGGGGAAGGGGTTCAGGCAGCTCACTACTCAGACCGCGGGGACACCTAGGTCTCCGGCCAGGCCCCTGAGGTGCCCTCTCCCCTTCTTGGCAAGGAGAGCCCCTGCCTAGCCTTCCCGGCAGCACTGGGCTGCACGGGCAGGGCCCACCTTGGCGGTGCCCACCTTGGCCGTGCACGTGTGCTCTCCGTAATGTCGGATCACGTCTCCTCGCATCACCAGCTGCAGCTGCTCCTTGGTCAGCAGGGGAAGGGCGGCGCCCAGCAGGCGGAAACACAGGTAGCTAGGAGGGAATGTGGGACCGAGCATGGTCAGAGCCCTTGGTTGCCCTGTGGGGACCTCAGGACTGGCGGCCTAGTCTCACTTCACAGAGAGGGAAGGGGGCCAAGAGAGGCCACGTGCCACACGCACCTGGCTGGCCAGAACTGCAGCTTCAGCAGCCCCTGTTCCACCACCCCCTTCCAGAACCGCAGAAACTTGTCTTCCTTGAGCGCCAGGCGGAGCAGCTCCAGAGCGACGGCGGGCAGCCTGCGCTCCTTCTTCACGGAGGACGCTGCCATCTTCAGCACGTTCACCAGCCTGTTGGGGGCAGGGGACTCAGGGAACGCTTGCCTCACCGGCAAGAGCAGCCGGGGCACCCCCAGGCCACACAGGCAATCTTGGTCTGGCCAGATGCGGTCCCACGGCCCCAGGGAGGGGCAAATCCACCCACCTCCCTCACACCTGGGAACATTCTCATCCGAAAATAGGTTGACGGATCCCACCAGCTTCTTGAGCCTAGAGGGCACCTTCTGCTGGGCCAGGAGGAAGAGCCCCAGCTGTTCAGGGCAACTGAGCATCACATCCAAGTCGGTGCTGAGGATCTCTGGCAGCATCTCCCGCAACGTGGCCTCCGAGACCTAAGGCAGAGAGGTGAGAAATGGCGGCTTCCTCTGCAGGGTGAGCCCAGAGCGGCCTTTTTTACCTGCCAGGCTCCTGACACAGGGCCATCTGGCCAGGCACCAGAGTCATCAGAGGCCATTTGCTGAAAAACTCAAATTCCCAGGCAGCTTGGTTGTTGACAAGCATCCTGCTGATGCTAACTGGCCCGGAGCTACCTGCGCCCACCGCCCCCCCCCTGCTTTTTTTTTGAGACAGTCTTGCTTTGCCACCCACGCTAAGTGCAGTGGTGTGATCTCAGCTCACTGTAACCTCCATCTCCCCGGTCCCAGCGATTCCCCTACCTCAGCTGGGATTACAAGTGTGCACCTCCACGCCCAGCTAATTTTTGTATTTTTAGTAGGGATGGGGTTTCACCATATTGGCCAGGCTGGTCTCGAACTTCTGACCCCAAGTGATCCACACACTTCAGCCTCACAAAGTTCTGGGATGACAGGTATGGGCCATGGCGCCCAGCCAGAGCTACCCATTTAATTATTCCTGGTTTTGGGATTTCAGAGGACTAGCCCATTTTTTTTTTTTTCTTTTTTTTTTTTTTTGAGACGGAGTTTCGCTCTTGTTACCCAGGCTGGAGTGCAATGGTGCAATCTCAGCTCACGGCAACCTCCACCTCCTGGGTTCAGGCAATTCTCCTGCCTCAGCCTCCCGAGTAGCTGGGATTACAGGCACGCACCACCATGCCCAGCTAATTTTTTGTATTTTTAGTAGAGACGGGTTTTCACCATGTTGACTAGGACAGTCTCCATCTCTTGACCTCGTGATCCACCTGCCTCGGCCTCCCAAAGTGCTGGGATTACAGGCTTGAGCCACCGCGCCCGGCCAGGACTAGCCCATTTTATACACAAGGGGCCCTAGGTAGACAGCTGGGATTCGAATTCAGGTCCTCTTGGCTCTGAGGTCAAGACTCCTCAGCATGCCCTGGCCTGCGACCTGCCAGCCCCTGCCTTTCTCTTCAGTGGCAAAAAGGCCTAGGTGTACCTTCCCATGCCAGGCACTGGAGGCCCACGAGGGACCAGCCTTGACCAGGACAGCAACAACAAACGTTTTATATACCTGCCACGTGCCAGGCTCAGTTCTAGAGCGGTACTAGCCACACGGGGCTGCTGAGCGCCTGAAAGACGGCAAATCTGAACAGGGATGTGCCTAGGTATAAAAATACACGCTGGATTTTGAAACACACTGAGAAAAAGAGTGAAGATAACCTCAACGATTTTTTTTTTTTTTTTTTGAGACAGTCTCATACGGTCACCTGGGCTGAAGTGCAGTGGCGCGATCTCGGCTCACTACAACCTCTGCCTCCTGGGTTCAAGTGATTCTCCTGCCTCAGCCTCCTGAGTAGCTGGGACTACAGGCGCCTGCCACCATGCCTGGCTAATTTTTTGTATTTTTAGTAGAGACAGGGTTTCACCATGTTGGCCAGGCTGGTCTCGAACTCCTGATCTTGTGATGGACCCATCTTGCCCTCCCAAAGTGCTGGGAATACAGGTTTGAGGCACTGTGCCCTGCCAGCTCAACAGTTTTGTATACAAATGCATATTGAAATAATATTTTAGATACACTAGATGATGTAAAATGTTACTAATGACACCTGTTTCATCTTTTTTTTTTGTGAGACAGAGTTTCACTCTTATATGGCTTGGGCTGGCTGGAGTGCCATGGCGTGATCTCGGCTCATTGCAACCTCCAACTCCTGGGTTCTAATGATTCTCCTGCCTCAGCCTCCCAAGTAGCTGGGATTACAGGCATACGCCACCATGCCTGGCTAATTTTTTATATTTTTAGTAGAGACGGGGTTTCTCCATGTTGGTCAGGCTGGTCTCAAACTCCCGACTTCAGGTGATCTGCCCACCTCCCAAAGTACTGAGATTACAGGCATGAGCCACCGTGCCCCGCCTCTTTTTACCTTTTCGACAAAGTCATGGAAACACTTTAAATTATATGTCTTTTTTTTTTTGAGACGGAGTTTCGCTCTTGCTACCCAGGCTGGAGTGCAATGGCGCGATCTCGGCTCACCGCAACCTTTACCTCCTGGGTTCAGGCAATTCTCCTGCCTCAGCCTCCTGAGTGGCTGGGATTAAAGGCACGCGCCACCATGCCCAGATAATGTTTTGTATTTTTAGTAGAGATGGGGTTTCACCATGTTGACCAGGATGGTCTCGATCTCTTGACCTCATGATCCACCCGCCTCGGCCTCCCAAAGTGCTGGGATTACAGGCGTGAGCCACCGCGCCCGGCCCTAAATTATATGTCTTTATATTTCTATGGAACAGTGCTGTTCCTGATTTTCATCTGAGCCCTCTTGATGTCTCTGTAGTGGGAAGTGTCTCCCAAGCCTGCACGGCTGGTGAGCTCATACCTCGGAGAGAATGTCCACCAGGGCCTTCCGGGGCTGCTCCTGCAAGTGGTTCTGGTACTGGGCCAGGGCCTGCAGCAGCTTCACCGATTTCCTCAGCGTCTCCTGGTCCTGGTCCCCACAGAGGGGCAGAGGGTATGAGCAGGGATCACTACTGTCCCCCACCCATCCAAGGCCAGCCTACATCCCCCCTGCCCTCCCAAAGTTCTCACCTTCACCAGCCGGCCTGATTGAAAGAGGGCAAGCACTCCGAACAGGTTTGCAAAGAGAGCAGGTCTCACCATTGACTAGAAAAGGATTCCAGGCATAGCATGAGGGGCTGTGGGACTTCCCACCCACAGCCTCTCACCCACGGGGCTGCTGACCTCCCCGGGCCCACTCTCACCTTCTTCACCTGATGCAGGTCATATTTTTCTTGTATCTGCTGCAGAATGCTGCACAAAGGGAGGTCTTCAAAAGACTGTAACAGCTGCCAGGAAGAAGAGGGGCTCAGGAAGCGGCCCAGTACATCCTCACACCTCAACCTCCCATCCCCCTTCAGCTCCTCCCAAGAAGTCTCAGGTGCCTAGTTGCACCCCAAGAATGCCTCTGAAGCTGCTCTCAGGGAAACAAATCTTGCCTCCCTGCGCCGTCTCCACTAGGGTTTCCAAAGTACCGTCTGCAAGTGGTTCTGGGACTGGGATTGGGACTGGGACTGGGCCAGGGCAGTTTTTCTTTTCTTTTTTTGAGATGGAGTCTCGATCCATTGCCCAGACTGGAGTACAGTGCTGTGATCTCCGCTCACTGCAACCTCCACCTCTCAGGTTCAAGCAATTCTCCTGCCTCAGCCCCCACAGTAGCTGGGAATTACAGGTGTGCACCACCACACCCAGCTAATTTTTGTATTTTTAGTAGAGATGGGGTTTCAACCTGTTGGCCAGGCTGGTGTAGAACTCCTGACCCCAGGTGATCCACCCGCCTCGTCCTCCTAAAGTGCTGGGATTACAGGTGTGAGCCGCCACCGCTCCCAGCCACAAAAGTACCTTCTACAGCCCCTAGACTGCTCTGCTGAAATTCTCAGCCACTGGGTCTTCTCTCCACAGCCTGGTCTGAGCCCCACTCCGGCTCATCCGGCGGGCCTGGGTCTTAACTGCTCTTTCCCTTGTCAGGGCTCCTCAGAGAGTGGGCTACTCCAATCAGCTGAATGCCCCTGCAGGCCTAAGGGAGCCCACTCCATCCAGCGCTCACTGCTCCCAGCAGGTGTACCTAAGAGGCCGGGTAGCCCAAGCACCAGAAAGAAAACCTGCTCCGCTTCCCACTCCCCCTGCCTGGACTGTTTTGGAGAAAGGCCTCGCTCACGCTTTCTCCACCTTCATGTGAGGAGGCTGCCTCAGGCTGGCCTCCAGTCAGCCCTGCCCCTCTGCCGCGCTGGGACACCCGCCCTCCTCACACCCCACCGTTTTCACCTGCGTGGCTGGGATCCTGCCAGGAACACCACCTCACCTGTGCGAGGGCCAAACTGTAGCAGGGCCGAGCTGTTTCTCGTCCGACCCCGAGTCCCGTGATTAGCCGCTTCAAGGCGTATTTCATCTCGGACCCCTGCGGAACCAAGCGCACCCTCGCGTTGAACAGTGACAAGAAGCTGCACGCCCCCGCGCACCTTGGCATCCAGGTTCGCGACCACGTGCCCCCATCCCACATCCCTGGGCCCGCCGCCGCTGCCTTGGGAAGTGCGCGGCCCCTGCCCCAACCCGCCGCTCCACCTTCGGCCTAGCGCGCAGATACTCCAGCAGCTTCTCCGTGGCCGCAAGTCGCGTCTCCTGCTCAGGCTTCGCAATGTCCCAGAAGAAGTCCAAGAACTCGCGGCTGTGTTTCAACAGGCCGTGGCGGTCGGCAGGCCGGGCGCTGTTCTGCGTCGCGTCTCCGGGCGACAGGGGCTGGGTGGGTTCCCGGCTCCCCATCTCCGCCACACTCACCGAAACACGTGTGCCCGGGACCCAGCCGCTTCCAGGTCAGGGCCCGGCGCATGCGCACTGTTTTTTTGAGGTGGCTCGGAGGAAAAACTGGGAGGGCGGGGCAGGGGGCGGGGCGGGGTCTGGGGAAACCAAGAGGAGCGAGGCTGGGGCGGGGATCCAGGAGGGGCGGGGACGCAGGAGGGGCGGGGATCCAGGAGGGGCGGGGACGCATGAGGGGAGGGGCAGGGCCTGGGGGAACGAAGAGGAGCGAGGCTAGGGCGGGGCCGCAGAAGGGGCGGGGCGCAGGAGGGCGGGGCCCCAGGAGGGCCGGCATTTCCGCCCTCGCCCTGAGCGGAAGTCCCTTGCTGCGCCGCGCGCGGTGGCTCCAGCCTTCCGCTGACTCCCGCTCTACCCTGGCGCGTGGAGCCCCACGGGGCGATTTCTGAGGGCCCATCTCGGAGACAAACCGAGGTGCAGCACGTCATCCGCCTCGTCCCGGGGTGGCCCTGCGCTCGGAGCCCTGAGCCATTCAACAGTTACTGGCTCTTGCCATGTGCGGCGCTGGGCGGTTGGAACAAAGCGGCTGCTCTCCTGGAGCAACACGGAGCCCCGTGCATTGAAAACGATCGTAATTATGAAGAGACCTGGGAATGCAGGGGTCAGAGGGAGCCTTTTCGGTGCTGGAACGTGAATACATCACCGCTTAAAAACACACCTGTGGGAAGTTGAGAAGTTCCTTTTTGTGGGGGAAAACCCAGCAAGAGCCGGAGCAAGGGCCTGAAGCCTCAGCATGTTCTCATATAAATGTAGAATTAGTAAACAGTCTTGCATGTTCTTCACATGTACCCCAAAACCTGAACTGCAATTAAAAAAAACTCAAAAAAAAATTAGAGATATAGTTACATAGTTATTCCTATATATAATCATAATCATAGCTATTCGTATGTAATCATAACTATATACAGATTTATAATCACGTAATCACATAGCTCTTCATATGTAATCATATACATGTATGTAATGATATAATCTCCAATCTTACTAATAAGTCTCAGAAAGTATGGGACTGAAGTGGCATTGGAAAAGAGGTGACCCTAAGGCCAGATGCTCTAAGCCCTCTGTCACGCCCGCATAGGGCTGCTGGAGGACTTCTGGGCTGTACGGCACTGGCAGCGCCGTGATAGCTCGGGGTTTAGCCAGCTAGGGAAGGAGACGTCCAAGATGGCCCAGACGTCTCCTTCCTGGGGGAGTGAGGAGAAAACTCCGCTTCCCCAAGCTCTTGTGGCAGGCCTGACACTGTCAGGGAGGCCCACAGACACCCGGGGACTTAATTGTCTCTCTGCGGTGCTGTGCTTCAGAGGTCACGTTCTGTGGCTACTTTCAAGTTTTGCTTCTGCACCTGGTTCCTCTTTTTCTTAGAAGATAAGAATTAGTAATAGTAACATAAATCTTAGTGACCTTGTTATTTTTTTGACAAGTATGAAAAAAGCGCTGATGCCTTAGGTTTTCTCCTCACCTGGGCCTCCGTCTCCAAGACACGTGATTGACATAACCCTTCACCGACCATCATTAACTCATTCTACCTGCCCTTCCTTCTGCTTTGTAAGGGGGGTGAAAGAGCGTCCAGGCCTGAGAAATAAATATGTCTGCTTTCTTTTATTCGTATTCTTGTGGCAAGATGGCTAGTGAGAGTACCCTTCCTGTAGCCCAGGAAGTAAAAATTGCATTGCTCAAAGATCTTTTGTATCAGTGCCGAGATTTCTTTGCAGCACTGAGCATCTATTTCCAACAACGGCGAATTATTATTCAACAGAGTCTGTGGTAATGATTTGAGGGATCGCTCAGGGAAGGCCTCTGTGAGGAAGTGGCTGGCATTTGGGCCGAGAGCTGAGTAACAAGAAGCCCTCCCCCACACTCCTGCAAGGATCTAAGGGGAGGAAATCCCAATCCCAACTGCAAAGGCCCAGGACTGCAGGGTCTAAGCCTACCAGGTGGCTCAGAGAAGCAAGGTTGCCTAGTGCCTCGCGCTAGGATTTCATTCTGAGTGTGGTAGGAAGTCATTGGTGAGTTGAAGGCAGGGGCGGGCCTGGATCCGATTTAAATTTTCACCAGGTGATGCTGGCTGCTGTGTGGGGGGATGATGGATTGTAGGTCTGAACAAGTGGAAGAACAGGAAGACCAGTTAGAGACAGTGGTGGACTGGACCCAGGGAAATGAGAACAGGTCAGATGTGGGCTGATGTGGAGCAGGTGGGGTGGGTGATGGATTGGACATGGGGAAGGGGAGGAAGTGAGGGGGATGGCAGGTTTGGGACTAAAATAACCGGGTACATTGTGGTGCCATTACTGAGCTGGAGAAGAATTTTCTTGGGAGTGGGAGGTGGAGGTGGTGGGATCAAAGGGTCTATTAAATCAGAGAAGCCTTTTACAATGGCAAGGGAGGGAAGTGCTGCCGGTCACCCTTGCTTCCTGGTTTGAGAAGCTGTTTTTAGAGGGCTATGGTCCAGAAAGGACCTAACCCTGCGGGGAGGTCAGGGCTACCCTTCACCTTGAATTTCTACATGCTCAACTCCAACCCCTTTTGTACCCAAGCCCCTAGGGTACCTTCTACTCACCCTCTCAACTGCTTCCCTGCTTTGCTGTCTGTTCTAGAAAGTGAGATTAAAACATTCACCTAGCACGTCTAGTGCCCCCGGAGGCAGGAGGTGAGCGGAGCCGGAGAAGCTGAAAGATACCAACCCAGCCTCTCCCCTCTCTGGTTACTGGTCATCTGTGCTGCCCATCAGGGAAGCCCCGACTCCAGTTGCTTCAAAGGCTAATGGGAAATTAACCAAGAGGCAGGAACGGAGCTTGGCCTCCCGGAGACTTGATCTTTATTTTGTATCAGTCTGATTGAGGAAGATAGGTAGAGGGTTCCCTGAAGGGAAGGGCGGTGATGCCAGCAGTACCCTGGGCTCTGCCTGCCCTGCTCCCTGCGGCCCAGTGCTTGCTGAGACAGAGGCTCTGCACTCTTTCTGCTGCCCTTCCGAAAGCTGGATCTGAACTCAGTGCTTGCCCCAGGCCCTGTTGCTTTTTCCTCATTACCCTCGTGTTCCTTAGCTGGTAAAGGAGCCAGCGATTCCCTCAGTTTGGGTGGTTTGAAGAATGACTGTGCTAGCTCTGGATGCCACAAGTCAAATCTAGCTAACGGAAAAGGGCAGAGGTTGGGGCCTGAGCCAGTAGCGAGCACATAATAGATGCACACTTTTTTTTTTTTTTTTTTTTTTTGAAATGGAGTTTCACTCTTGTTACCCAGGCTGGAGTGCAATAGTGCGATCTTGGCTCACCGCAACCTCCGCCTCCTGGGTTCAGGCAATTCTCCTGCCTCAGCCTCCTGAGTAGCTGGGATTACAGGCACGCGCCACCATGCCCAGCTAATGTTTTGTATTTTTAGTAGAGATGGGGTTTCACCATGTTGACCAGGATGGTCTCGATCTCTTGACCTCGTGATCCACCCGCCGCGGCCTCCCAAAGTGCTGGGATTACAGGTGTGAGCTACCGCGCCCGGCACACTTTTTTTAAAAATGAGGTTTCACTCTTGCTGCCCTGGTTGGAGTGCACTGGTGTGATCTTGGCTCACTGCAACCTCCACCTCCCAGGTTCAAGCAATTCTCCTGCCTCAGCCTCCTGGCTAGCTGGGATTACAGGCGTGCACCACCACACCCAGCTAATTTTTAAATATTTTTGGTAGAGATGGGGTTTTGCCATTTTGCCCAGGCTGGTCTCAAACTCCTAGCCTCAGGTGATCCACCCGCCTCAGCCTCCCAAAGTGCTGGGATTACAGGCATGAGCCACCGCACCCCTCCATCATCATTATTATTATTATTATTATTATTATTATTATTTTGAAAAGACAGGGTCTCACTATGTTGTCCAGGCTGGAGTGCAGTGGTGTAATCTTAGCTTCCTGCAGCCTTGAACTCCCGGGCTTATGCAAGCTTCCTACCTCAGCCTCCTAGGTAGCTGGGGCAACAGGCATCTGCCACTGCACTTGGTGATTTAAAAACTTTTTGGTATAGATGAGATCTTGCGATGCTGTCTAGGCTGGTTTCAAATTCCTGGGCTCAAGGGATCTTCCTGCATTGTCCACCCAAAGTGCTCGAGATGACAGGTGTGAGCTGGGGACACTCCATGCTGCTGGGTCTGCTCTGTTTCTGCTCCAGGCTTCAGATGACCCTGTCTTGTGCCAGACCCACCCCCATCCTGTCAGATCCCCTGATAGGGGCAGCAGCCATGGGGGACACTGGAGACATGGGCGTGCTCTGCGTAGGCTGCCACCTGGAGCAGGGTCCCTTGGCCACAAGTGCTGGGCTGCTCTGTCGGTTCTTGCTGGCCCTGGTGCTGGTGCTGGGCCTGGGTCTGGGGCTCTGCCAGATGGCTGAGTATGGTGTGAGTCATGGCTCTGGCCATTTCAGGGGTCCCTGAAGCCACTAGCCCCAACACATTGGTCTCTGAGTCATCCAGGCTGCCCCGGAGGATGAGGGGGCAGGCCCAGGCAGTAGCGGTAGACTTAGTCGTGTTGCTGAGCAGAAGCCCCGTGCCCGGGGACAGATACGCAGAACCAAAGGAGCCATTGAGCGAGGAGGTGAGGAGGAGCACAGAGCCGCTGCTGTCCACGGTGGCCAGGGTGCTGCTCTCTGGGCTCACGGCAGTTTGTGGGACTGGTAGGCAGGGGTCAGGGCTGGGTGCCCCAGACCGTAGGGCTGCCTCCAGCAGTGCCAGCAGCTCTGGGCCGGCTGAGGGACTGGGGGTGGTGAACAGGATGCCCTGGGCTATGGGTAGCTGCTGTGCTGGTTCCAGCTTGGGCCTGGGCCCAGCCGAGGGCACCTCCACCCCCAGGTCTCTCGCCAGCAGACTCAGTAGTGCATCTCCAGCAAGGTCCGAGGTGGGAGCGAGAGCTGCCCTGTGAAGCACAGCTGCCAGCTGTGGGTTGGTGGCTCGGGCTCCAGCACCCAGGGGGGTCCCATCAGGATGGCAAAGCAGTGGACAGAGGCCTTCTGTGCCCCGAGCTGCCAGAGCCCTTGCCAGGGGCGTGTCCACCAGGAAGCCCTCCTGAGCCAGCATGGTGGGGCCCACTAGCAGGCGTGGCCAGGGCAGGCGGCCAAAGTGTGCGTGCAGCAGGTGCAAGGTGGGCAGAGCCGTGGGCAGTGCCAGTCCGGGGGCCAGGGTCTGCGCTGGGCCTGATGTCAGGGCCGTGGAATTGCCTGAGGAGCTATTGTGGAAGAGGCCCCAAAACATGGCACCTGCAGGAGACAGAGGGGTCACTCAGCATGCGCGGGTCAAGGGCCACTGACTTGTTTCAGTCAAGATCCCTTGATTGAGTCTGGGATCAGGAGTTACTGACCAGGCCTGAGGTCAAGGTGACACAGACCTGGCTCAAGGGGTGGGGACTGCTGCCCAAACCTGAGGTCCTGTTCAGTGAGCCTTGAGGTCAGGGCTACTGACTCCCTGAGGCCCAGGTCACTGATCAGGCTATGGGCTGGGGTTGCGGTCCGGGGTCTGGGATCACTGACCTAGCCCCGTGGCATGAGGATGCACCACCGCCAGGCACAAAGCGGCTCCCACGCCGGCATCCACGATGTTGCCCCCGGCAACAAGCAGCTCTCGGCCTAGGTGGGAGCATGCGGCTGCAGCAAGAAGGGACTGTCATACAGCAGGGAGGGGCTGCGCCCGGTGACCCCTGATCCTCCCTCCCCCGAGCTGCCGCCAGCATGACTGACCTGTAGGGCTGATGATGGCAGCATGGTGGTAAACGCCAGGGCCATGGGAGTGTCCACTGGGTGGAGGGGCCGCAGAGCCCAGGCTTCCTGTGGGGTTGCCTTGATGCTGGAGCTGCAGCACGGCCAGGGAGCTGCCCACAGCCAGAAGCAGCAGGGCGGCCGCTAGACGGGCCCAGGTTCCGGGCAGCCCACCGGCCTTGTTCCTGCAGAGGGGTGTCCTGAGCTACCGCTGGGACAGAGGGATGCCCAGGAACCCCGAGAGACCCCAGGGAATGTTTCCCAAAAGGATTGATTTAGCGCCGGCATGGCGGCTCACACCTGTAATCCCAACACTTTGGGAGGTTGAAATGGGCAGATGACGAGGTCAGAAGATTGAGACCATCCTGGCTAACACGGTGAAACCCCGTCTCTACTAAAAATACAAAAAAAATTAGCTGGGCACGGTGGCATGCACCGGTAGTCCCAGCTACTTGGGAAGCTGAGGTAGGAGAATTGCTTGAACCCAGGAGGCGGAGGATGCAGTGAGTGGAGATCGCACCACTGCATTCCAGCCTGGGCGACAGAGCGAGACTCCATTAAAAAAAAAAAAAAGGTTTGATTTAGCAAGAGTACAAGTTTGCCAAGGAGAAAAGGGCTTCTTCACAGTGGGCACAACTTGGGCAAAAACATGGAGCTGTGAAAGGATTGGGGAAACTGAGGGTAGCTAGGGCGGGAGCCTCTGGAGGGGAGACTGGAGAGGCAGAGTCGAATCAGGTGGGAGGGAGGCCCCATGGGGTGTGGCAGGCAGGAGAGAAGGGGCTGGAAGCAGGCGCCGCCAGGTGTAGCCAGGCCCCAACCTGCCCAGCAGGTGCCTCCTGTACCAGGGCTCGGGGGCTGGGGACCTTTGACAGAGCAGCAGACAGGACAGAGGCTGGCTTGGTAGCGATGTCCCTCCAGATGCACAGACCTGTGACTGGGTCGGGCCAAGTCTAGAGCTGCAGCCTAGGTTTTCACCAAGTTGATGGGACAGTGTGGAGCTAAGCCCAGCAGGGAGTCACCTGGTTCCCCTGAGGGGCTCCAGAGAGAGGGACTTGCCAACCTTAAGCCTGGGGAGCCTAGTTCCCAGACCCCTCCCTTACTTACCCAGAAGAGTCCTGGGGCCTCCAGGGGTTGGGAACCAGCTCCTCTGATGTCTCCTCTTCCTCCTCCTCTTCTTCCTCCTCCAACTCCAAGCTTGGCTCCCAGAGCAACAGCTTCTGATAGACTACGGGCTCTGCTGTCCCCTCCATGGCCCCCAGTGCTCGCCCCAGCCCTCCTGCCTGCCAGCCTTCCTGGCCGTGTCTCAGAGGCCCTGCCCAAGCCTGGCAGGTGGGAGGTGGCATCGACCTTGGGGAAGGGTGGGGTGGAATCCAGAACAGGTCTGGGCAGGGCATGGGGCCAAGGAGGCTGCATGTGAGCCTGCCCCATTAGGACACAAGGCCCGGGGAGTTCTCGCGACACGGCTTCCATTGTGACTGCCTGTAAGGGATCGCAGCTCAGTGAGGAGGAGCCTATCCCTAATGCCACGACCTTGACACTCAGGCACCTGCTGGATGCCCCCCTTTCCCCTTGGGGGGATGTAGCCCATGGATCCCACCCAGGACTCTAGCGTAGAAACCGTGGACTTGAATTAGAGCTACAGTTATGTGGCGACTTGGGTTGGGGTCCCACATGCTTGGGTCAGCATGTGACGAGGTACTGGCGTCAGGGTATCTGGTCTCTGACCAGAGTCAAGGCTCAAGCCTGAGGCTACTCCGGGTCTGGGTTTCTCTGGGGAGGAACTTGGTTCATAAGAGAACTCCCTGGGCGTGTTATGCGACCGTGGTTCAGGAGGTGACACCACAGCCTGGAAACCAAGCATGGTCAAGTTTGTTCTGGGATTCTCATCAAGGACCTGTTGCAAAACAGCTCTACTTGTAATGCCTCCAGCTGGAAAGCGTCAAACATCCATGATCGCTGGAATGAGTGATGTAAGTCACAATGGACCATTCTGCAGCAGTGAGAATGAGCGATCTACAGCCATATGCAAATAACATACACAGGGCTGACAAACGTAAGGAAGACGGAAACCAGCCAGGCCTGAGACAGCACACGTGAAGTGCTTTCATTTACATAAAGTACACAAACAGGCAAAACGAGTCTGCCCTTAGAAGTAGGGACGAGAGGGCTTCTGGGATGCTGGAGACATTCTTTCTTTTCTTTTTTTTTTTTTTTTTGAGACAGTTTTCGTTTTTTTGCCCAGGCTAGAGTGCAACGGTACAATCTCAGCTCACTGCAGCCTCTACCTCCGAGGTTCAAGCAATTCTCTTGCCTCAGCCTCCTGAGTAGCTGGGATTGTAGGCATGCACCACCACGCCCGGCTAATTTTTTGTATTTTTAGTAGAGACGGGGCTTCACCGTGTTGGCCAGGCTGGTCTCGAACTCCTGACCTCAGGTGATCCACTCGCCTCGGCCTCCCAAAGTGCAGGGATTCCAGGCGTGAGCCACCTCGCCCGGTCCAGATGTTGTTTCTTCATCTGAGCGTTGGTTACAGGAGTGTCCTGAGTGTGAAAATGTGTCAAGCTGGGCACTGATGACGTGTACTTTTCTATATGAATATTGTCTTTCAATAAAAAAGTAAAAATGAAAAAGCTGAAGTATTTTCTACATTAAAACCACAGCCATACAAATCATCCTTCAAATCATCCATCATCTCATCTGGCCCTCCAGCTGCTTCCCTTTCTCTCGGCCTCTTCACAAGCAAGTACCGGGGTTTTTTAAGTTGGTCACAGTCACCTGGGGAGCCTGTGAAGTCAGGTCAATGGGCTCCCCTCCCAGAAAGTCTGGCTCCAGCTGGACGTGCTTTCCTCACCGCCACAGACCTGGAACCACACCTTCAGTCTCAAAACAAATTCAGGTTCACCTGCTGTCTTCACTTCTCTCTCTCCTGTTTCTTCTCTTAGCTGGTGTCTGTCTTTAATTCCCCAGAGAAACCTTTGGCTCCCCCTCCCCTTTTTTTCCCCTTGGACCAATAAAAAAACCAACCAATCAGAGCAGCCTAGGGTTAACACCTTCCAATTTCGCCAATGGTGGGAGGGTGGGAATCAAAATGACCATTGGATTATTTTATGACATTTTACGATTTTATGATGTCATAAAATAATTTGGTTTCACTTTCTGTTAACACAATGTAAGAAGGTTAGAATCTCAGAATGCAGGTCAGTCCTTCCTTCCTAAGAAAAGGCATCTGAGCACCTTAGGGGTCTGTGCTGCCCCCATCTCCTGCCCCAGCCTCAGCCTCCTTCTGTCCAGTAGTCAGCATTATTTTCGGCCCCACCATGCCCAGCCAGCATTCCTCTGCTCACAGAACCTGACTAACTCTTTGGGACGAGACCTCCACTAGTTGGGCTTGGGGTACATTTCCAGTGTGGCCTTTCTCATTTCAGGGCTCAGGGTAGGGGTGGGGGTTGGCATTGGCTTCAGGAGGCCTGGGTCTACTCCCGTGTCGGCTAATAACGGAATACAGATCTGCAGGCAAAAGACATTTAACCTGTAGGTGTCTTCAGTTCACTTCAGTGAAATGGGATAACAATATTCATCCTCCTGGGTTGTTTAGATGATTCATAAGAAAATGCATTTAAAGCATTTAGATCAGTGCTTATGACAGAGCAGTCCCTCAAAAACATGGGTTCCTTTTTCTGCTCTGTGAGCCTCAGTCTCCCCAGTGATTATTATGGATAATAGACACACACACACACACACACACACACACACACACACACACACACACACACACTGGCTTGAAGTCTGAAGCCTAAGACTGTAGATTCATTCATTTCTTCATTCCCTCATTCATCCTCTTATCTTAATGGTTCTCAACCTTAGCTGCACATTAGAATTACCTGCCAAGCTTTAAAAAATTCAAGAACTGGTCAGGCAGGGTGGCTGACGCCTGTAATCCTAGCACTTTGAGAGGCTGAAGCAGGCGGATCACGAGGTCAGGAGTTTGAAACCAGCCTGGCCTGCATGGTGAAACCCTGTCTCTACTAAAAATACAAAAATTAGCTGGGCGTGGTGACGGGCTCCTGCAGTCCCAGGAACTCAGAAGGCTGAGGCAGGAGAATTGCTTGAAGCCGGGAGGCGGAGGTTGCGGTGAGCCGAGATTGCGCCACTGCACTCAGCTCCGTGCAGCCTCGCCCATCATGGAGACTGGCCCCGAGGGCCCAGCCGCCTCTGGCCCGCTGCCATCCACGAGGACTGGTTCTGAGGGACCTGCAGCCTCTGGCCTGGCCAGGCCTTATCGCTGCAGCTCAGCAGCTGCTCCAAACCCAGCGATCGCGCTCTCAGGACATCCTCACCTGCAGCCAGACCCATGGCCACGTGCTGGTGTCCGACGACAGTGTCATCCGATGCACAGAGAGAGATGAGTTCTCCTCCCAGGAGCTGATTGCCCACCTGCCTCTCTGCAGCCGACCCCCCCGCGCCCCCCGTCCCCAACAGGTGCTGACCATCCGGGTCCTGCCCGAGGTGGTGAAACACACTGCTCCGTGGAGTCTGTGGTCCAGTGTGAGATCGTCGAGGGTGCCATCCAAGTCCCCAAAAAGTTCCTGCTGGGCGTGGCTGTTGGCTAGTCTAGCTTGAAGCTGACCCTCCATGTGGGTGACGGTTTTGAGTTCATGAAACAGAATCAGGAGGAAACAGAATCAGGAGGCCTTTCATGCGACCATCACTGACTCCTCAGACTCCACGGGCCCAGCAAAATAGGACTCCCCAGGGAGTCCTATTCCCAGCTCATGAAGACGGCCCTCAAGGAAGAGGGCCAGGGTGAGGCTGCCAGGGTGAGTGCCAGTGGCTGCACCCGGACCTCATCCAGGACAGGCGGCAGTTCTGCCAGTCAGCGTTCCCCCTGGTGCCTGCTGCACCATCCGCACCTACCCCAGTGGCCAGATGGGCTTCATGTGCTGCGGCCAGAACCCGAGCACCAACTTCCAGGAGCAGGTGGCACAGATCCAGCTGAAGCACTGCAACTCCAACGGGCACCACGCCACCCTTGTGCTGCCCGAGTTTGCAGGCTCTGAGTGCCCGAGCCTTGCAAGGCTCTGAGTGATGTGAGCTGAGCCCAGGTGCCACCACCGATGCCACCCAGAATCTTGGATCAGGGAGCCTGCAGCATGCCTGGGCCCCTCCAGTCCTGGGCCAGACCTCCTGCCGGCTCTCGCCCACCAACTAAGGCCCAGAGTGCTGCCTGGCCTGCTCTGCTGGGAGTTCTGCCTCCAAGCCTATACCAGCTGTGTGCGGCACCATCTCTCTGCCTTCTGTTGTTCCTCACTCACCAAACACATGTATTTGTAGAAAAGAAAAATTCAAATACCTATGCAGATCAGTTAAATGACAAAATCAGAATCTCTAGATTGTGGCTTCATCAATTGTTGAAGCTTCCCAGGTGTCTTCAATGTGTAGGCAAGGCTGGGAACCACTGCTTTAGCTAGTGATTTCTGCAATTGGAATCACCTGTAGCAATTGGGAAAAACCCCAAACACCAATATCCTGGTCCCTCCCTTTTACCCAGTCCCGAGCCAATTGAATCAGCTTCTCTGACACTGAGCTTCAGTCCGATGATTTTTTTTTTTTTTTTTTTTTGGGATGGAATTTCTCTCTCGTTGCCCAGGCTGGAGTGCAGTGGTGTGATCTCAGCTCAATGCACCTCTGTCCCCTGGGTTCAAGCAATTCTCCTACCTCAGCCTCCTGAATAGCTGGGATTATAGGCACTTGCCACCATTCCCCAACTAATTTTTGTATTTTTAGTAGAGATTGGGTTTCACCACATTGCTCAAGCTGATCCCGAACTCCTGACCTCGGGTGATCTACCTGCTGGGATTACAGGCATCACCCACCGCACCCTGCCTCTAGGTGTTTCTTTACGGCAAAAATCAACATAGCTCCTGGAAAATGCTTTTTTTTTTTAGACAGAGTCTCATCTCTACCACCCAGGCTGGTGTGCAGTGGCTCAATCTCGGCTCACTGCAACTTCCATCTCCCAGGTTCAAGTGATTCCCCCGTCGAAGCCTCTCGAGCAGCTGGGATCATAGGCATGTGCCACCTCACTTGGCTAATTTTTATATTTTTAGTAGAGATGGTGGTTTTACCATGTTGGCCAGTCTGGTCTCAAACTCCTGACCTCATGTGATCCGCCTGCCTCGACCTTCCAAAGTGCTGGGATTGTAGGCATGAGCCACCTCACCTGGTCAAATGCTTTGTTCCTTATCCCAGTCACCAGAGAATCCAGAATTCCTTTGTTTTTGCCTGGCAGGGACAGCAGTGCACCTTTACAACCTT